TCCAATATAGTCCTGGAATTCCTAGCCAGAGCAATAAGGCAAGAAGAAGAAATAAAAGGAATACAAATAGGTAAGAAATAGTCAAAGTATCCCTATTTGCAGATGACATAATTTTATACCTTAAATACCTGAAAAACTCCACCCCAAAACTCCTAGACACCATAACAGCTTCAGCAATGTAGCAGGATACAAAATCAACTTACAAAAATCATTAGCTTTTCTATACACCAACAAGGAACAAATTGAGAAAGAATGTAGGAAAAAATTCCATTTATAATAGCCTCAAAAAAATCAAATACCTAGGAATAAACTTAACAAAGGCTGTGAATGACCTCTACAAGGAGAACTGCAACCATTTGAAGAACTACAAATACCTACAGAAGGTGGCGAGATCTCCTGTGCTCATGGATTGGTAGAATCAACATAGTAAAAATGGCTTTACTACCAAAAGCAATCTACATGTTCGATGCAATTCCCACCAAAATCCCTATGACATTCATCACAGAGATTGAAAAATTTACCCTAAAGTTCACTTGGACACACAAGAGACCAAAATAACCAAGGCAATACTGAGCAAAAAGAGCAACACTGGAGGTATCACAATACCTGACATCAAACTATATTACAGAGCCATAGCAATAAAAACAGCATGGTACTGCCACAAAAATAGATATAAAGACCAGTGGAATAGAATAGAGGACCCAGATATGAATCCACCCAGCTACGACCACCTAATTTTTTTTTACAAAAATGTCAAAAACATATGATGGAGAATAGACAGTCTCTTCAATAAATGTTGCTGGGAAAAGTGGTTATCTGCCTGCAGGAAACTGAAACTAGATCCATACCTGTCATCCTGTACTAATATCAACTCAAAGTGGATTAAGGCCTTAATATCAGACCTGAAACTCTGATGTTAGTACAGGAAAGAGCAGGGAATATACTGGAAGCAGTAGGCATAAGCAAGGACTTCCTCAGTAGAACTCAAATGGCTCAGCAACTAAGAGAAAGGATATACAAATGGGACTACATGATATTAGAAAGCTTCTGCACAACAAAAGAAATGGTGTCTAAATTGAAGAGGCCATCCATAGAATGGGAGAAAATCTTTGAGAGCTATGTATCAGATGGGACTGATAACTACAGTATACAGGAAGCTCAAAAAACTAAACTCCAAAAAATCAATGACCCAATAAAGAAATGAGCAACTGAACTAAAAAGAACATTTTCAAAGGAAGAAGTCCAATGTCTATACACCTGAAAAAATGCTCACTATCCCTGGCCATAAAGGAAATAGAAATCAAAACCACACTAAGATTCCATCAAGAACACCACCACCACTAAGTGTTGGCGAGGATGTGGGGAAAAATAACCCTCATACACTGCTGGTGGGAACACAAACTAGTACAACCACTATGAAAAACAATATGGAGCCTTCTTAAAAAACTAAACATAGATCTGCCATCAATACCACTCCTGGGGATATACCTGAGGGAATGTGACTTAGGTTACTACAAAGGTACCTGCACACCCATGTTTATTGCAGCACTATTCACAGTAGCCAAGTTATGGAAACAGCCAAGATGCCCCACTACTGATGAATGGATCAAGAAAATGTGGTACTTATACACAATGGAATTTCACTCAGCCACAAAGAAGAATGAAATTTTGTCATTCGCAGGTTAATGGGTGGAACTGGAGAACATCATCTTACGTGAAGTTACCCAGGCTCAGAAAGCGAAAAGTCACATGTCCTCCCTCATATGTAGATTACAGACCTAAAACAAATGCAGCAATATTATTGGACATGGGTCACTCTAAGGGGAAACTGCACACAGGAAGGATACCTGCAGGTGAAGGAAACCAAAAACTTGATTGTGGTTGATGTACTCATGGTACAGGAATGGATATAGTAATCTTAAACTGGCCAGGGCCACTATGGGAAGGGGACTAGGGAGTAGTGAAGAGGTCTGGTAGAGATGAACCAATTTGGATTGTAATACACATATGCATGGAAACAACACAAGGAATCTCCTGTATAGCTACCCTTATGTCAGACTAGCAAAAACTGAAGTGATGTGTTAATTCCTCTTTATCCAAGGACTTTATCACAATGTCAAAAGAATTTGCTAAGAATAACTAAACCTACTATAGTCTGTGTTAAAAGGTGTGTACAGTTTACTATACAAATCTAAATATGACTAATTGTAGAGTGCACACACTGGTTACCAGTGTCCACTTTGGAAATGATTTTTATTTCTTCAAGTTTGACCTTTATGTCCAAGTTTCTATCATGCTAAGTTTGCTTCTTGCTTCAGGGTTTTTGTTACCATATTGGACTCCAGCCATATAATCAAGAACAAAAAATCTTTATCAACTAACTTCTTATGTCCCATGGCAGGTTTTTGTCTTTCCCTGCCTCAATATCAGCATTATTCACAATAGCATAATGATGGAAATGATCCAAATGTCCTTCAACCAGGATAACAAATGGACAAACAAAATATGGCATATACACACAGTGGAATATTATTCAGTCCTAAAAAGGAATTAACTTATACATGTTACCACATGTATGAATTTTGAAAACATTATGTTAGGTAAAATAAGTCAGATACTAAATGACAAATATTGTACAAGTTAACTTATTTAAGGTACTTAGAATAGATAAACTCCTAGAGATGGAAAATAAAATAGAGGTTGCCAGGAACTAGAAGAAAGGGGAAAGGAGGAGTTATTGTTTAATGGATACAAAGTTCTTGTCAGGGATGGTGAATGAAAGGAAGGAAGGGGGAAGGAAGGAAGGAGTGAGGGAGGGAAGAAGAAAGGAGGGGAGAGGAGGAAGTGAAAGAGAAAGCCCCACCTAGAAGGTGAGAACTAGGGCAGAGGGTGCTCTTAGGTTCCTGGCCCTAGGAAATCTGGAATGGAGCCTCTCTGTCTTGCTAAGCTGGGAGGTGGGAGGAAGGAAGCAGTCTTGCTTTGAATACTAGACTCTTGCCTTTCTTGCAGAATTTTCATAGACTTTTCTCTTCTTTTGTTGTTTTTCCCTAGGACCATGGCTATGAATAGTTGTTTTTCTCTAATTTTCACCAGTTTCACTGGGGAGTAAGTTAGTGTAGTATCTTACCCAGATAGGGTTGCCTTTTTATTTAAAATATTAGTTGTGTTATTTAGCTTGAAGGATTGTTATATCACTGGTACATGGACTGTAAAATTTGTTTTATTTTATGGCAAGCCTCTATAAAAACCCTGCTGCATTCTTGAATAAATGAATGGACAGGTTCTGTTAATGAACAGTGGCCATTTGCTACAGTGTGCTTTGACAAAAAAAGTCTCTATGCCAGCCTGTTGCTAAATTCCATTCTTTGTCACCAACACTGTCTTAGTTTGGCTGCTATAGCAAATTACCATAGACTGGGTGGCTTAAACAATTTCTCACAGTTCTGGAGAATGGGAAGTCTGGTGAGGGCCTTCGTCCTGCCTCTCTTTGTATCCTCACATGGTGGGAACATGGCAAGCTAGGTGTCTGGTGTCTTTTTATGAGACAGCATCTTGCTTTGTAGCCCTGATTGGCCTCAAGCTCACAATCCTCCTGCCTCAGTTTCTTGAGTGCTGGAATTAGAAGTGTGTGCCAGCTACGTCCAGACTCCCCATCACCTCTTAAAAGGTCACTAATCCTATTCACCAAGGCTCCACCCTCATGAACTAATTGCCTCCCAAAAATCCCACTTCTAAATACCATGACATTGGAAACTATATTTCAGCATTTGAACTTCAGCAAACTGGAGGACTCACAAACATTCAGTCCATAACAAGTGACTGCTCTTTTGCTAAGATGTTTTACTCTATTAAGTGCATGGGCTCAGAAACTTTGATAGGAATAGTAATTCAGCCTTTCTATTATGAATAATTTGAGGTCAAGTATTATTTTGCTCAAAAGACTCAATCGGTTTAATTAGATTATCTTTTGAAATAATTGGTTTATCAAGTTACAGGAATTATTTTATGTTACAGGAATTATTTTATTTTCCAGGGGAGGTGGAAAAAGTATTACTACTGAGCACTTATTATGTGTTAAGTTTATTACATATAATTTAACCTTTGTGAGACTATTTGTTAATAATTATTAGGGTCAGTGAGGGTAGCAAACTAAGACTTAAACTTTGGGGTTTTCCAAGGTCATACAGCCAATCAACAGCAAGAGCTGCAAAGTTTTCTTTCGCTTTTGCGCAATAGGATTTTTGTGCAGTCGGACAGTGGTGTTATGTGGGCCTTCATGCCAGAAAGAAAGGAGTATTTATGCTCTTTCGGAGAGAATCCATCGCTGGTGACTTACGTCCTGCCATCTACACTCGTCTTCCTGCAAAAGCATTCCCTGCCGCTCTTCTGTGAAAGATATTTAAGGCCGGGCGCCACGGCTCAGACAGCACAGCGCCTGCCTTGCAAGCTGCAAGGCCCCGAGTTCAAACCCCAGCCCCCCCAAAAAAATTAAATAAAAAGAAATTTAAAGAGTCGTTCGTTCAGAATTACAGTATCAGAGCATGCTGCTGCTGTTCTTGCCAATTCACGTTTGTTAGACATGTTGAAGTGCTGCTGTGTTTTAAACATTTATTTCTGAATTTAATTTTCTGAAATAATTTCGTGGAGGTAATATTGGTGTTGGGGTGCAGAAGTGTCACCCAAGATTCAGATCTTAAACTTTGGGATAACAAAGGGGCAGGGACAGCAGAGGTCAGCCAGGCGGACCTTGCTGGGAACTGTGGTCCTGGGTGGGGCGGGTGAAACCGCCTAGGCCTCCAGGCGCTGGAGGTCTCGGGCGCCATCTATCGGGCAGGCGGCGAGCGCGCGGCAAGGTGCGGGGCCTCCACAGCCCAGGCCCGTGGTGCGCGCGGCCCGTGGTGCGCGCGGCCCGTGGTGCGCGCGGCCCGTGGTGCGCGCGGCCCGTCAGAGACGGCTGGCATTCGCGGCTGTGAGGCGGCGTTCGCGGCGGTGAGGCGCCGTCGCGGGGCTCGAGGTGCCTGGCGCGTGCTGGTGCTCAGGTGCGTGTCGGCCCGAGCGGGAGTGGGAAGCGGGAGCGGGATTGGGAGCGGCTTCCTAGTTGCCACGCTTTTTAGCGGCGGGAAGCGCAGTGCGGGCGAGCGCGCGCGGTACCCCCGCCTGGGTCGGCGGCCTACCCGAGGCAGCACGCGGCCATGTTCCGTCAAGTTTCCCGCCTCGCGGGCGCCGCGTTCCCTGCCAGGCCCTGGGCACTCGGGGTCCGCCCTCGACGCCCGCTAAGGCCCCGGCTCGTCAGGCACGGGGGTCTCCGCCCCTTCGAAAGACGTTAGCGTTTAGGAGTGAAATTCTGAGGGACGGCCAGCGAAGGTGGCAGGCCTGCACCGCGAGGGAGGACGGGAGAACAGGAGCGCCTCGCCTCGTCACAATCCGCGGCGCGGCCGTCTCCACGGCAACGCGACCTGACGGCTCAGATGCCAGGGAGGCCCGCCCGCATCAGCTGCTGCCCCCGACGCGAGCTCCTACCGCGCGGGGACCCACGCGCCGTGGTGATCTCGCGTGGACATTGACACTGAACGTGGACGGGCGCCGGCGGCTCACGCTGTAATGCTAAATATGCCGGGAGCCGTAGAATCGTGGTTCGAAGCCGGCCCAGGGCAAATAGTTCTCGAGACCTTTTCTTGAAAATAGGTGGTACAAGAAAGGGCTGGCGGGCTGGCGGAAGTGGTGGAGCGGCTGCCTAGCGAGTGTGAGGGTCTGAGTTCAAATCCCACTGTTGTGAAGAGAACCAAAACCCTGAATCAAACCTACGACTCCTTACACCGAAATGTGCCCTTGTTCTTAGAGAAAAGGTTAGTTCAAGAAGAATTAACCTAGAAGGCACAGGAAATCAATGTGAGTCAATGCCCTGTATAGCTATCCTTATCTCAACCAGCAAAACCCCTTGTTCCTTCCTGTTATTGCTTATAATCTCTCTACAACAAAATTAGAAATAAGGGCAAAATAGTTTCTGCTGGGTATTGGTGGGGGAGAGGGAGGGGGTGGAGTAGGTGGTAAGGGAGGGGGTGGGGGCAGGGGAGAGAAATGAACCAAGCCTTGTATGCACATATGAATAATAAAATAATAAATAAATAGAAAAGATTTACACAAAGAAAGTGCCAAATTCACCATTGGTTAGAACCCTTCATAGTAGTACGTGGCCTGGAAAAAAGCTGTCTTAAAATTGAGCGTTAAAGGGGTGTATGTGGGTTCAGTTAATTGAAAATTAAAATTACTTTTATAAACAAATCGAATTTGTACGGATCGGCCACTATGTGCTCAGGGTTATTGAGACCCTTTAGGAGTAAAAAGAGAAAAATACAATGTCATTTATCAGGCTACCAAGAAAAATAGTGTGGGGTGAGGGGCTGAAGAATTTGAGGTAAATGGTATTTTTTTTTTAAATAGAAGAGTGCATCAGAACTGAAACAGATACATAATGTTTTTATTCTGAACCAAAATATGTTATATCCATCCTCTTTTGTACCGGAACTAGAAACCAAAAATTCTTTTGACGACATTTGCTGTTTATATGGGAGGTTTTTGTGTAGTTATTTGACATTTTCTAAAAATAGTTTCACTTTGTAGTTTTATTGCCTTATTTCCATTTTCTTTTAGAAAAAGTCATACAAATGTTAGTCTTAAGATTTTCTACTTAAATTTGGAGGTAGCAAAGTCATATGCAAGTGGTCTGTGAGTTTTAATTTATAGTTTTTTTGTTGCTGAAAAATGCAGTTCTAAAACTAGATGGGAAATATTTTGTTACTTTTGGACAATATTAAAATGACTAGCATTTTCATGTATACTTTTCAGATAATTGTATTCAAGTTCTGAAATTGGTTGTATAAACAAAGATTGTAAAACTGTGTTAGTGCACTGAGGGCATGGCTTAGGTGGCAGAACACCTGCCTAACAAGTACAAAGCCCTGAGTTCAAAACTCCTGAGGGGTGGTGGGACACACGACTTCCACACGACTCTGTTAGCATATTTTTAAATGATACCTTCTGCATCCTGCCCTATTCCAGGCTTGCCTATTTCGTACAGTCAAATTGTTTCAGACATGTATAAAGCAACTTCTTTTTGTTGATGATTGGGTGATTAATAAAGAGGACAATTAAGCACGTGGAAGGGGAGGACCCAATAGCTGAAACAGTGAAAAACCCCACAATATTCTGAATTGTAAGAACAATCATAAAGTATTTGCAGTTAGACCTCTCACCAGTAGCATTTTTTCAAGAGATGCATGTGCAAACATTCTTTCCTCCTCCATTTCATTTCTACATGTGTCTTATCCCTGTATCAGGGAAGTGTCAATATTGGAGACACATAATCTAACTTGATAATGAGGATTCCTCCACAAGATGATGCTCATATAGTTTTTTTTTAACTTTTAAATTTCCTGAGGACAAATTTTCATTCAGTTAACTATCACAGAAGAAAAAGAAATGTAACACATTTTGCGATTTGTATGTCCAATTTCATGTTTTCACACATAGGATTTTTTATCATGTTTCATAATTTAGAAAAAAAGGGGATGTAGTGTTGATGTGCAGGGGGAGTAATTGGAAAGAGAAAGGAGCAATGCATGCCTGTAGAGATGGTGACTTACACCCTGAAGGATGGGTAAGAATTTGCCAGGTGGAGAATAGAAGAAAATACATCTAAACATTGGTGCAGTATGGAGCGAGGGACAAAAGTGTGAGAATGCATGAATGAGTAGAAAACAAATAATGTATTTTGTTATTGAGTCACTTTGGAAGAAGTCAGAAGATGAAGCTGAAAGAGCTGTCTTTGGTTCTATTTTATAGGACATTCTGAGAAATTAAGATTCTGATGTACTTATCCAGAAATATTTTTCTACATCTTTGTAAAAAAATATAAACTACCTTTTCTATTTCTTGCAGATTTATGACAAAGTTCAGTTTCCAACAATGTTGAAATCAAATGATTGCTTGTTTCCTGTGGATAGTTTGTTTTTCAAAAACCCATTGCAGGATGAAAAGTAAGTGTGCCTTAAAGATGATAATATAGTGTATTATTTTGGTTTTTTTGTTTTAGGGAGTTTAAATTTTCTGTCTGGTAAGTAAATAAAAATGAAGGGCCAAGAGATACTGATATTTCACTTCTATATTCGGAAAGCATAGAATTCAGATATAAAGGAGTAACAAAAGTTTAATTATCTCAAATGTTATATTTTTTTAAAATAGATTCTTGCCCACTTGACTTCCATTTGTTTGCATTTCTGGTTTGTCAGATTACTTGGGGCTAAGGCAAAGGTTGGAAGTAATGGTCAAAGAAGCTCAGGATAAGAAGTGAAGGTACCTTTTGGAAACAGAATGGGAAGTATGCAAAGGCAAATTCAGTGCAGGCAAGTAGGGGTGGAAGTAAAGATGTGAGACCAAAGGCAGTAAGAATAGAAAGTAGTAGTCTCTTGAATACCAGCTATTAGGGATTTTCATGTATCATTGCTCTCTATTCTAAATTTTCTGTGTATTTGCTCTATTGTATTATTGTGTGTTAATGAAACATTTATTTCATTTATTTTTCATTCATTCATTCAAATACTAATTTTGAATATTGATTGAGTGCTGAAAGGATATAAAAAGAATGATATAAACTTTTATTTAAAAAATTTAATGTGTGGTTGTGATTAAACACACATGCAAAGGTCATTAATGAATAATGTGACTATATAATTCATTCAGACTGGGACACTTTTGAAAGTGCAAAAGTATATCCAACTGATGCAGTAGGAGTTAATCAGGATTGGCCCAAGCAAATTTTGGAACATATGGTCATCCTTATAATACAAAACCAAAATATGTGCAAAGCAAATGATAAGCATATGAAGTGTCAGATTTAGAAAGAAGGTCATCTTGGGCCAGATGGTCAGGTCAGGCCAGATGGTCAGGTCAGGCTTTATGGTAGTGGGGAGAGGTTTCAGGAGGCTTTGAAGGATTCTATAATTCTTTTGTTAGAGAGGAAGTACACATTTGAAGGTGTGTTACTGAAAAGGAAGGAATGGAGATAGGCCTATTCGTGGTACTTTTAGGAAATAGCATATAGAGAAGTTTCCGGAGGTAGACAAATCATTAAAGAGAAACTGAGACAAGAAGTTAGAAAAGTTAAATGCCAGAATAGGAATCTTGGATATGATTCTCTTGTGTTAAAAGCCATGGAATTAAATCAAACATTTCTTTTTCTATTTTTTGGCTAGAGTTTGAACTCACAGCCTCACACTTGTGAGGCCGGTGCTCTTAACTGCTATGTGGGAACATATGGCAGAGAAAACCCTCACTTCATGTTAGCTGGGAGGTAGAAAGAGACAGGAAGGGGCCAGGGTCCCAATAACCCCTTCAAGGACATGCCCGTAGTGACCTGACTTCTTCCCACTAGGCCCCACTTCTTAATGGTTCCACCATCTCCCAGTAGTACCAGAGGCTGGTGAAGAAGCCTTTAACACCCAAAGGTGTTAGTTTGGGAGACACTCAAACTATAGCAAGTATATAATAAGCAGTTAAATTTGGCCTGATACTAAGAAGTATGTGTAAAACTATAAGGTGGTTTAAGCTCACTAGGAAGTTTGGCTTATTCAGAAGCCACTGAAGGATTTTGAATGTAGTAGTATGTTGGAAACAATTCCAAATTAATATAGAAATGTGTAAAACATGAATGACAGCGTGGAGGCAGTGAGGGCAGTTAAGGCACTTCTCAACCAAATACCAGTTGATTAAAATTGTTATTATAAGCACTGATGGGCAGTAGAAACACAAAGAAAATAATGAATTCAAGAAGCATTATAAAAATGATGCAGTGAGGTCTGATGTATGTCTGTATAAAGTGAATTAAAAAACGGTTTCATGGTGGTTTGGATTTTGGTGACTGGGAGAAAGGTGATACCTCTAGAAAAAAAGAGAAAGTCATGAGGGAGATTTAATTTTATGAGTAAGCTGAATTGTGGAGCCAAATATGTATTTCTTGTATCTCACTCACTATCTTCTTTTATAAGTTTTCTGGAATACTCCCTATGCAGAAAATAGGCCTAAACTGCTGTCCTTAAGAAGGCTGGCTTGCAAGGTTTGCTCTTGGCTGGAGTCTGATAACTTAGATTTCAGGCAGTTCCCCACCATTAACTGATAATAGTGGTTCACTTCTCATTAGCTGTTTATATAAATAATATGGCTTATGCTAAAAATGTTCTTCTGAGATTCTGGAATTTATGTGTCAGAGGAGGCTAATACACCGGGAAGGGACCAGGGCCTCAATATCCTTTAAGGGGTTCACAATTAAATACTCTCAGCACAAGAGCCCTAATGAGCTTCCTTCATTGGTAACATTTCATGTATGTTGCCACAGCTTGTTACTTACAAACTTAAACATGTCCTGTGTGACTCCATTGGGAGAGGACCCTTGCAAACTTGTGCCTGCTTTCCTCAGGTCTTTGCCCCATAGCTAGGAGTAATCTTGAGTCCTGTGAGCTGAGTTTGATGAACTGAGGTTTTGATCTTGGGTACCCTGCAACATAGTCCTAAATTTCAGATGCTCTGGCCTATTGTGAGACAGTCTGTTAGGGATAGTCAGATAATGTGTTGTAGATTTTCATTTTGGAAAATGAGGCCATAGTAGCTATTTTCTAGGTGCTATGAAAGGCAAAAAAGTAAAAGACTGAGTCTCTCACTTCGTAGAGCTTAACATCCTAAATGATTAGAAAAAATCGTCAAGTCCTTGGAACTCAATGTAGACATAACGTATGGTACTGTTCTCAACTTTATTTCTTATCACCTAACCCTTACCTTTTTGTCTTGATGAAGGATAAGTCAACTTTATTTGGAAAAGAAACATTAAAGCAGAATCAGTTAGCAGGCTCACAGCTGAAAGATAAGGAAGGTAAAGATGCCATGGGGTGGTAATGATGAAGTCAGTTGTTGTAGGCTCATGAAGAGATTTATCAGTTTCAACTGGTTTCTTAGATTTTCTGTGGTTTGTCAATGGTTCTAGACCAAGAATATTTCAGTTAGGGAATTAAGTTGAAATAATGTTATAGGAATTACCTGAAATGGTCTAGAATACTAGTGTCATTTACATATTTATGACCAATGATTTTAGGCAAGGTATGTCATAAGTAATTTGCTATGTATAATAGTTACTATGCTAAAGTTTGAGACTGACTTACTACCTTTTAAAATATTGGAACAAATTTAGGATTCCTGTTATTAATACTTGAATTAGAGAAAAGAAGATGGAGTTGTAACCATTATTTAGGTAGCATGTCTCATGTAGCAGCATCATTATTGCTGTGGCACACAGAGGAAAAGGTTGAAAGTGCTGTTGTATTGGTGACAAAAAGTTAGTTTATGAGATGTTTATCTAAGAGTTTTTAATGTTTAATGAATAGTTTTTGATGCTATGTCTTTACTAACATTTTTATGCTTTATAGCTTTTCAGACAATGGAAAATCTATGGATTGGTTTCTCCCTCCTGCTCCATTGATTTCAGAAATTCCAGATACTCAGAAATTAGAGGAAGAGATAGAAAGTCATAAACTACTAGGTAATTTGTCATGTTTGTTGTGAAGTCAAGCTCATGCAGTTCATGCCAATATAAAAAAATCTAATAAATCTACTAAAACATTGAAGTATGAATTCTTTTGTTTCATTGGAGTAAAATAAAAGTCAGAGACTTCTTTTATCCAAAATAGTACCCATGAAATATTAAAATTTTTTTATTATTATTGTTGTACTGGTGATGAATTGTAACATTTACAAAAGTTCTTACAAAATATCATAGTTGAATTCACCCCCTCCATCATTCTCCTTTATCCACCCCCCATCAAATCTTAAGGTTTCAAAGTTCTCTTCTCCATCCATCCATACATACCTATACGTATATATAGTACATAATATACCATCACCTGTGTGGACTGTTGTTCTGTATATTTTTCTTCTTATGATTTAAACTCCTCTTACTGCCAAGCAAAGCAAAACTAAAGGTAAGATCCTCTGGGAGCCAGATCCCTAAAGTATATTGACTGAATAAAGCGAGATGCAGAGATTGTATTTAGTTTGAGACCATTTTTATAAAACTCAAAGCCAAGCATACTCAGGTTGGAGATGTAGCTCAGGGGTAGACTATGTGCTTAGCATGCATATGGGCCTGAGTTCAATACCCAGTGCCACAAAAATCCCAAACCAAAACAACAAAAACAAGCATGCTCAAACCATATATGTTATCTAATGTGCTATTATTGGAAACATTTTAATACATTTTATTAGTAAGCCTCATTATTTACATACTTCATCTATGAATATATTAAATAATATATACCATGTGTAACGTACATATAAATGGATGGTAAAGCAAAATTAAGCACTAATAAGGCTTCTTAACTCCTAGACCTGCAGATTCTTGAAAAGTCTGTTTTAAAAACCTTTAAAATTCTGTTACTCTGATGCAGATATTTCTTTATCTTGCTTTTAGGAGAAGATTTCAAAGTAATCTTGTATCATATATTTTAATACTGCTTCATATTCAGTCACATTTTATATGACTGGTCATTGTATTCCTGTGTACAAATTATATAAAACTTTATGCCAGGTGTGGTGGCACATGCCTGACATCCCAAGTACTCAAAAGGCAGCAATTGGTTTCTAGCCAGCCTGAGCAAAAAGTTAGAGACCCCCATCTTAACAAAAAAGCCAGGTGTGGTGGTATATATCTATAATCCCAGCTGTGTGTGCAGCCTAGATAGAAGGATCAGTCTGAGACTGGCCTGGGGCAAAAAAAAAAACCATGAGACCCTATCTAAAAATTAAAAGGGCTGGGGTGTGGCTGAAGTGGTAGAACATTTCTCTAGCAAGTGTGAGGGTCCTGAGTTCAAACCCCAGTACTGCTCCCACTCCCAAAATTGTATAAAACTTTAAATCTTCATAAATGCCTATATAATTATATCATGTAGTAGCTAAAGTTTTCAAATATTATAATTATGGTTATTTTGGTTCCGATATTAAACTTATTTTATAATAGAAGTTATCTAATTTTTCAAAATTAATTTTAATCTGGTTTCATTTCTGAGTTCCCTTCAGAAACAACTACCTTTATTTCAAACCATTACACAGTGTTATAGATTATCTTGTTATTGCAATTATACTTTTCTTTCAGATTTCCTATTTAACTAGTGAACTCTGGAAATTTTTAGCTTAGTACTTTCCATTATCATTTTGAAAATTTGTTTTCATGAAGGACATGTAATAATAAACAATTGATTCCTTTTTTTCTAGGTCAAGAAAAGAGACCAAAAGTGTTAACATCAAATTTAAAGATTACTGATGAAGACACAAGTTATGTTTCACGAATACAAAAATTGCAATTTCCCTCTAATAAATATGAAGATAATTTAAATTTAGGAGGAATGGGTAACCATGACTTATCACATGTCACTGGAAAGCTGACCTATGGTTTTTCTCAGAAATATAAAAATTACGTGAGTACTGAAATTGCACCTGAGAAAAATGTTCCTGAGGACTCCAAATCAGTCAGCATTGTGGACGATAAAGGAGAGAGTTCACTGGCCTTCCGAAAAAGGTGATTGACTCTGTGAAGTAGAGAATGCCGTGAGTAGCTGAATGCATCTGTGCACACCCACAGTGTTACTCGTGGAATCCCGATGAGTCTGCCCTGTGCCAGGCAGTGCTGCTCTGGGTTCTAGTACTAGGCTAGTGCTCTCACGCAGCTTATGATTTAGTGGGCAGGCACAGATGATAAATAAAGCAACTGACTGATGCCTCATATGTGACAGTTATTTTAATGAAGTATGTGGGTAGAGCAGAGGTTCTCAAACTCCTTGTTGTCCATGCCCTTTTACACATGAAATTGCTGAGGATTCCCCAAGAATTTTTTTTAGGTGGGCTATATCCATCAAAATTTATAACATATTAAAAACTAAAACTCATGTTTTTTCACAGGACCTCATACTTGCTGGACAGGTGCTCTACCCCTTGAGGCACACACCCATCCCTTTTTTGCTTTAGTTACTTTTTAGATAGGGTCCTGCGCTTTTTGCATGGACTGGCCACGTTCCATGATCCTCCTACCTTTGTCTCCTGTGTAACTGGGATTACAGTTGTGAACACCATGCCCAGCTTGTTAGTTGAGATGGAGGTTTCCCTAACTTTTTTGCCCAGGTTAAACTCAAACCATGATCCTTCTAATTTCCCTCCTGAGTAAATGGGATTACAGGTAAAACTGAAAAACAAATGTTTATCTACTAATTCATCTTAAAATAATGTTAATCCCACCACTAGTTAACCTAAGTAGTATATATTTTTCTTGAAAAAACTCTTCATTCGTCAGTGGATCAATGGATTAAAAATAATGTGGTATATATTTCTGTAACCTTACAATTATTCGACATGATTTTTTTCTTTTACTTTATGATGAATTTTGATTTTTTTTCTCATGTTAGTGATCCTGGGCAGCAGTCTGCCTCAGCCCCTGCCAGCCACAAAACAGGCAAACAACGGTTACTGTACTGAATAGCTAAGCTGTTATGTTCAGTAGGTTAGGTGTATTAAATGCATTTTCCACTTAGCATAGTTTGAGTTGATGATGACTTTATTGGAATGCATCTGTATACATGATGGAATACTATATTTAGCCATAAAAGCATAAAATTCTGTCATTTATGTCAACATGGATAAATCTGGAAGAAATTATGTTCAGTGAACTAAGCCAGGCACAATTGTACCAATACTGATGATACCATATGTGGAATCTAAAAATGTTGATGTAGAGGTTAGAATTAAGGCTAGGGTTTGAGTGAAAAGGGTGAAAAAGAGATGTTGGTCAACAAATACAAAGTTACAGTTAGATAGGAGGAGTAAGTTCTGCTTTTGTTTTGCACAGTAGACCTGCAGTTAGTAATACAATGTTGTATATATCAGGAAGGTCCACTTCAAGACACTATAATATTAGGAACATTAGGGCTTTAACATATTGGAAGACACAAATATTCAGCTCATAGCAGTAATGACATTGGGAATCTTTAAGAAAACACTTGTGTGTTTTCTTTAGAGCAATGTATTCAGATACTTTGTGCTTTAATTGTACTATTTGTTTTTTATTAGTGAGATATAACTGTTCTTTATGTATTCTCAGTATAAACTCTAATCAGCTATATGGTTTGAAAATATTTTCTCCCATTTTGTGATTTTTTTTTTTTTACTTTATTGATGGTGGCTCCTGTGTGGCACAAGTTTTTGTTTTTATTCATTCTTTCAGACAGGGTCTTGCACAAACCTGTGAACCTGGCCTCAAACTCACTGTTGTAGCCCAGGTTGGCATTGAACTTTCAGTCTTCTTGATGAAGTCCAGTTTATGTTACTTGTGCTTTTGGTGCCAAAGCTGATAAGCCATTGTCTAATCCAAAGTCATGAAGATTATTTACATATTTTCTTGTTATTACAAGACCTTAATTTAGGCCTATGATTATTTTGAGTTAACTTTTGTATATGGTATGAGGTAGGAGTCCACCTTCATTCTTTTGCATGTAGATGTCATCTTGTTTCAGGAACATTTGATGCAAAGACTGTTGTTTTCCCATTGAATGTCACGGCACCTTCTTTGGAAAACAATTGGTCATAAACATAAGGTCTGAAAGGTTTACTAGCCAATTCTTTGATTCTCCAACATCAAGTAGATGTCTGATAATTCCACTCAATTTGACAGTAACTTCTGGAGTTATCATCAGACCTCCACATACTAAAAGCTCCATCCCATACGATCCCTTCCACCAAAGATGCCAACTGAAAGTGGGTTGCTCGGGTTCCTAATATTTTTCTATGGCATACTACAGATTCAGGAATTCCCACCTTAGGTTCAGTAATTTGCTAGAATGATTCACAGATCTCAGGAAAACACAATATTTTTATTTACTGATTTATTATAAAGGATACAACCCAAATGGACGAGGTGCATAGGCAAAGTATTGGGAATGGTACAGAGCTTTCATTACCTCCTCTGAATGTTCCACTCTTTGAGAACCTTGATATGTTCACCAACCCTGAAGCCTTTTAGACATTGTTATTTAGAGTTGTTTATAGAGGTTCCATTATATGGTCATGACTGAAATAATTGCCCACTGGCAATTGAACTCAGTATCTAGCCCCTCTCCCATCCTGAAGGTTAGAAGGGGATAGCTAGGGGGCTAAAAAAATTCCAATCCTCTAACAACACGGTTGTAACTAGTGCCTGTTAAGTTATCTAGGAGCCCTCCAAGGTCACCTCATTAGTATAAACTCAGGTTTGATCGAAAGGGGTTTATTATGAATAACAAAAGATATTTCTGTCATCCCTTCCACTCAGGAAATTCCAAATGTTTTAGGAGCTCTGTGCCAGGGATGGAGATTAAACATACGTTTTTTAATACCATGTGTGTTAGCTTTCTGCTATTAAAACAAAATACCTAATATGAACAACTTAAAAAGAGGAAAGGTTTATTTTGGCTTATACTTTTGGAGGCTTTAGTCCCTAGTTGGTTGGCCTCATTGCTGTTGGGCCTGTGGTGAGGCAGCATATTGTGGCAGGAAGGGCATGGTGGAACAAACTGTTCACTCATGGCAAGGATATGAAAGAGAGAGAGCGAGAGAAAGGGTCAGGGTCCAACCATCCCTTCAAGGGCACACCCCCAAAGACTAGAAGACTTCTCACTAAACCCTATATCTTAAAAGTTTCCACCATCTCCTTATAGTGCCAAACTGGGGACTAAGTTATTAACATATTGACTATTTGGGGGACCATTTCAGATTCAAACTATATCATCAGATAAAGATTTATTTCTGAACTCTTGATTATACTCCATTGACCAACATGCCTGTCTTTATGTCAGCTTTACACTGGAGCTTTGTAATAAAATTTGAAATTAGGAAGTGAGTCTTCCAACTTTGTTCTTTTCCAGATTGTTTTAGTTATTCTGAGTCCTTTGTATTTTTCATATGAATTTTAGTGTAAGCTTGCTAATTACCACAAAGAAGTCAGTTAGGATTTTCATAGAGGTTGTGTTTGAATCTGTAGTTCAACTTTAGAAGAATTGCCATCTTAACAATATTGAGTCTTTCAGTCTTTGAACATAGGATGTCTTTCCATTTATTTAGATTTTCTTTAATTCTTTCAATGATGTTTTATGGTCTTCAGTGGAAAAGTCCTATATTTATTTGTTAAATTTATCCCTAAGCATTGTATTATTTTGGATACTAATATAAATGGAATATTTTTTCTTAAGATTTTCCATTGCTAGTATATAGCAATACGATTGATTGTTCTATATTGATATTGTATTGTGCAACTTTGCTGATGATGACTCTAACTTTTAATATTATTTATCTACCTGACAACTGTATTCCATTGCCTGGCTATTACATTTATATATAAGAGTGTGTGTGTGTATGTGTGTGTGTGTGTAGATACATTCATTCTAGGTTTTGTAATGTAAATATGATAAAAAAGATAAAGAATGTGAAAGCTGTCAAAATTAAAATGGAGTCACTTTAACCAAACCCTAACAAAATGGAGTTGGAGGCCATAAAGGAGGGGCTTTTATGGACATTTATGCTTAAGATTAAAATCTATTATGAGGACTCTCACTCTGAAAACCACACTTTACACAAAGAATACTCCTGCAAGGCTATCTGCCTAGTAACTAACTGTTTACCTTGGACTGATACTATCCTTGTTATAAATCCTGGTCAATAGTAATTGTTTCAAAATGACTTTTATCACCTTCCTCATTTTACCTTCAAAACTGTCATCCTCCTTTGCCTCTTGGGTATGGTTATGACTCCACGTTTTGCCATTACAACCCTGGATTACAATGCCCTGTCGCTTGTTCTCAGATAAACTCATTCCTTTGGAGAACCCCTCTCTCTTTTGTTAGTTTTAGATTGACAAGCAGAAGAGTTTAGAATATTGATAAGAAAGTTACCATCGAATCTAAGTCCATAAAACATGGAAAGAAAGGAGAATAGGAAGATAGTTTGAGAGAAAATAAAGAAGTTAATTATAGTTTTCATGTTTGATCTCATTGGTTCCTTGATGAAACAAACTTAAAAAAAAAACCAGGATTTTATGGTCAGAGAATAATATATCAGAATTATTATTATTGATAAGATTATTGAGTGGGAGAACAGTTCTGGATGATAAACTCTAGAAGGAGACAGTGGATGACTGAGGCCATATGAAGGAGAATGCCTTTGGAAATGAATTGCCTAAGGAACTGAGGGGTCGGAATTTTGAGTGAGTTGTCTGCATGAGTGTTGAAGTAACATGGAATGATGGCAGAATTTGGGATTGAGAAGAAGATTATAAAGCAACCAGAAGGTTGATATTTGATATATGGTAAATAGTGTATGCTGTGAGTAGCACAGATATCATTATGCGGGTAGAAAAATGATCTACATTTAAGAGACAGATGCCCAACCTTCAAGAACATGGGATGTGAGAGAATCAGAAGTTTCCACCTAGGAGTTTTTTAAGGAACAATAGTTTTTTAGGCCAAAGCCATATTTTTTAAGACTCAGGAGAAAGCAAAATAATCAGGGAAGAAGTTGAGAACATAGGGGAGTTTGGTATTCACAGAGGACCTAGGAAGAATCTGAAGTCCAGAGAATATAGGTAACCAGAATGTGGGTTCCTTTACAATTTATAAAACTCATTTCACCTCTTACTCTGAAGTCACACAGCTAGGAAACTGAGTAGTAGCTCATCTGATTCCAAATATCTTTTAACCACTATCACAGCATATACCAGGGAGTCCTATAACATAAATGTTCTCCCTTTTCCCAGTACCATTTTAAAATGGATTTTACTTTATTATTTAAGACTAATTATCTGTTTTGAATTTTCCATCAAATGCTAGATTTATCATCTAATGCTAGATAGAACTGCTAGCACTGGATGATAAAATTCTACAAAATTTATTCTAAAATTTTTCTGTCATAATTCTTGAAAGATTTTTTATACAATATATCATTGAGACTGGTAGTAAAAACAACTAAGAAAGTATTCTGTATTTGCACAGTGCTTCTTTGAGTATTATTCTTTATAGAATTCTGTAAGATTGATATTCACTGTCATCCCTATTACCTATCCTATAAGACGTGAGTGTTGTATTTAAAGCACCTTAATGGTTACTTGATCTCCTGAGGCCATTATAAACAAAATACTTTAATAGATTTTCTTTTGATCAGTCAAATATGTATAGTCATATTTGTATGTCATATCTTTATGTATAGTCATAAAGATAGTATCTCCTTGTTTTGTACAACTTTGCAAAGAAGTATTTTTTTACAGTAGATTGATTATTGGATAATATTTGGGATGATTTAGTCATCTGATATACTTAGTTTGCTTCTTTTCCTTATTGAGGGGATAGGGAGGCAAGGTATATAACTCTGATTTGATTGGCCAGGAAAACTATATATAGTCTCTGGTACCTTCTGTGGAGATCAGTGCTGTTGCTGACAAGTATGCTGCTTTGCTCCTGTAAATTTAATATAAGTTTGTTAATGTATTTTTATAACTTGAATCACTTTAGTTAAATTTAACTATGAGTTGAGATCACCTTGGCTGTATTTATAGGCTTTTTCTCTTTTCTAGCATTTTAGTGACTTCAATAAGTAGTCATTAGTTATCTGTTGTTGTGTACAAATTGTACCAAAACTTAGTGGCTTAAAACAGTAAAAAATATTTTTATTTCTCACAGTGTTTTGTGAGATAGAAATTTAGGAACTACTTAGTATTTTTTAAGTAGATTTGCCTGAGGTCTCTTCAGATTACATAAGATACTGGGAATCTCTCACAGGGCTGCAATCAAAGTGTTACATAGTCTGTGGTCATCTGACACTTGACAGGCGCTATTGGTCCATTTTCAAGATGGCTTCTTCATCTTGGATGACAAGTTGGTGCTGATTGTTGACAAGACACCTCAGTACCTCTCCACATGGGCCTTGGTTGAGTGTCCTTATGCTACAGTGATTAACTCCCCACAGAATGATCCATCTGAGAGTTTGTCTGGAAAGGAGGATGTCTTTTATGACCTATCCTTGGAAGTCATGTACTTGTACTTCTATAGTACTCTGCTAATTACACAGGCAAGTCCTAATTCAGTGATTGAATTTGTAGGAGACTATAAAAGAGTGTGAATACCAAGAGGCAAGGATAATTGGGGCCACCACAAAAGGATTTATCTGGGTTTCATGAAAGTTAAGAGACATAAATTAATGGTAATCTTAGCAAGTCATATTTTAGGAGAAAGACTGGCTTTTTGTTTGAATAAGTCCTATCTGTGGATATTTTTAAAAGATAATTTTATGCTAGTTTTTCACATTCTGAGCAACAACAGTAGAAAATGTGTGGTGTTAATTTTTTTGCAGATTATTTAAAATATGTGACAATATCCATGGAAATGTTTATGCTAATGACAGTGCAGACTTACATTGTCACATTGGCTCAGTGAAAACAATGCAAACAGAAATGAACAAAGAGAAATCACGCAGTAACAAGCAGAAACCGCAATATTCTGCAAACACATTTATAGCAAGTGATGTTTTTTTTGCTTCTGAAATTGGGCAAGACATCCTCAAGCTATCATCTTTTGCAGTTGCATCACAGCCTCATGATATTCAAGGTAATTCCTTGCTTTTTTAGATGTTTTTATAAAAATACAAACTAATCAGCATTTGTTAGCATAGAGAAAAAACATAGTACATTTGAGTATGTTATTTCTAGATGTGTAATTTCTACATTTCTTTATTATGTTACATTATTTTTACCTGTGTCCTAATATTTATAACTGTACTTTCACTAAAGTCATACAAGTTTTATTGAAGCAGTTTTTTAGAAAAGATTTAAAAAAATCTATTCACGCATGCAGGTTTTTTTCTTTTTTTTTTAGGGGTAACAAAAAATGGCTTAGGTTCCTTGAAGGCTGTCACAGAAGTCCGTATCCTTTAAATTATTTTACATTAGTTTATTTATATTTATGAAATCATGTTTTTAAATATTTTGTTTCATTGTATTCCTGTGTGTTTATTTTGGCTGACAAAGAAAGAGAGGGAAAGTAAATCTTTGGGGTTATGTCAGAGTTACATGTGTGTGATAGTCATTGCTACCCCATGTGTGGTCTGCAAATGTGGTACCAGTATGTGATTTCCAGTGTGTACTGGGATGAATACAGAAATCAGATTCATATTATTGGTAGAACTTTATTCACATTTACTTATAGACAGATACAAATAATTTCTTATATATTGGGTAGGAATAGCCAAATTGGGTTAAACTGAATAGGGGAAATTGAAAGAAATGGGACAGTTTGTAGATTGAAGACACTTTTTACAAATCTACAGTTTTAGAATCTCATGTGGAGTTTATAAATACAATCCAGTTTACATGTGTGGCCATTTTAATGTAGCTATTCTGAGTGTATTCTTGCCATAACATCCTTTTTAATACTCTGTACATGATTATACCAGTACATTCATTGTATTTTATTATGCTTTATCAGCTGTTTATGTGAAGTATTTCCCCATGACCTAAGAACTCCTTGCAGACAAAAGGCTATGTCTTATCTGTCTTTATATCTCCAAATACATAGAAAGGCAGAAGAAGGCACATGAAATAAGGAAGCTGTTCTGGCAGAAGAGTAGCCATGGACAAGGGTGAGGGTGAGAGTAAATATGGGGAGTATATTGGAAAGAGCAAGCATTCCAGTTTGACTGAAATCAAAGATACATTAAAAAGTATAGTAGGAAATAATATTTAGTAGGTATCTTAGGATCACAATGTTTAATGCCAGGAATACCAAGATACAGAGTTTTTTGTTTTTATTTTCCCCAACTTTATTGAAGTGTAATTGACAGGTGAAAATCCATAACCTTCAATGTACACAATGTGATGTTTTATTATTTATATACATTATGAAAATGATTACCACAGTTAAACTATCCAACGTATCCATCATCTTACATAGTTTCTTTGTACGTGTGTAGTGAAAATACTTAAGATTTGCTCTTCCCCAGTACTGCCAAAACAAAACAAAAAAATTGTGCTCTTAACATTTTTTGTTTTTATTTATTTTTTGACATGGGGTCTCCTTATGTAGCCCAGGCTGGCATTGACTTCATGATCCTTCCTTCCTTAGTCTCGAGTGCTAGGATGACAGGTGTGCACCACCATATCTGGCCTTGTTTTTATTTTTTTAATTGAATTTTCTTCCCTTAAGACAGGATCTCACTGAATTGTTCAGGTTGGTCTTGACCCCTGAACTCAAGCAATCCTCCTGCCTTAGCCTCCTAAATAGCTGAGAGTACAGACATGCACCGTTCCCTTGTTTTTTTGTTTTTCTGTAATTAAAAAATTTTACAAATTTTTTGGTAATACTGGGGTTTGAGCTTCATGCTTGGTAGGTAGGCCCTCTACTGCTTGAACCATGCCTCTAGTCCCCTCCCTTGTTTTTATTTTTAATAAGGTTATTGATCAATGAGGAGATACCATGTAATACTTTTGAGCAGTCATGTTATCTCATCAAAACTATGTTTAGTTATATGGCATTAAGTGATCCAATAGCTGGGAAATGCTCTAGAATCCACAAAAGTTTTGGCTTATTTGGCAAAACAAAGTGAAGTCCAAGTATTGAGCATTAAAGCTAAGGGAAATCTAGATAACATTGACTCTAATCTTAGGTACTCTTGGGATCATTTGAGATAACTCCAAAGTATAGTTAAAACTTATTTGCCTGACCATTCATGGAAGGTTGTAACAATGCAGGTAACTGAGTTCAGTTAAAATGGGGAGAGCGGTACATGTAATGATATAGTAACTTCAGGTATAGCCAGTCCTTAGCACTTCTGCTCTGCATGATATCTGAGTCCTGCCGTACTGTATTCTCTTTGGTGATCTAAATAGGTTGAGAATACTAACCAGTTCAATATTGTTTAGTTATCTATATGATGGGAGATTCTTCTTTTTCTGGAAACCTTTCCATAATATGACACTACCTTTTGAAGAGTTTTAAAATTTTTCATGCTGTGTTGGCACAACTAAAGTGGTTTTGTTGTTTACACTCATGTCCATAGATTTATTGTCCAAAATTTTCATATGCTGTCAAATTCACTACTGAGCTTTACTGTTTCCAAGTATATATTCAAAGTGGAAGATTGAAGGCCATTCATAACAATTTGAGAGTTTGTGGGTTTCTTGGACACAATGTATTTATTGATTTTTTTCAAAATTTTATTGTATTTGAATTCTTAGAATAGGCATAAGTTTTGTCAGACTGATTCTGGCATAGAACTCATGTCATTTTCAAGTCTGTAGACACTTTTCCTTAGTATAACATATATTTTCTGTGACACTGATGAGACTGTATTGAATGAAAGGAAAAATTTGGTTTCAGGTGTTGAAATTGGTGACAAATGATACTAATGGTTGAAGTTTATCATGAGCTGGGAAACTTTCTGCATCTACTTTGAATCAAAGATTCATTTTTGTGAATATAAATTGATACAGAACTATCTAATGAGAGAAAAACCAGCACGATAGTCTTATTTTGTGCTTATGATAAGTAAATATTTTGTAGGAAAAGACATTTCAAAGAAAAAATGAGATTCTTTCAAAAGCTGATAGATTTGGCAAACTTAATTTTTTTGTTTTGGCACAAATATTCTGACATTTGTACAACTGAAAATAAAATTGAGATTTATAAATTTGCTGTTTGATCTGATGAATGCAAACAGTATTAACTGAGTTCTTACTATGTATCAGACACTGTTGTAGGTGTTTGAAATATGTCAGTTAAGAAAACAGACAATGAATCCTTTCCTTGAGTGAACATTATTGAGATGAGGGTGGGGAAGAGAATAGATCTGAACAACTGTAACAGTATAATAAATGTTATAAAGTATTTTAGAAGGTGATGAGTACTATGGGAAAATAAAGTGTAGTACATGGTAGAAGAATTAAATTGGGACTGCTAGAATTGAGGGCTCAGGATGTAGGATTAAATAGAATAATTAGGATAAGCCTTCTTGAGAAGGTGAGATTTAAACAGTTAAAGGAGGTGAAAGAGCTAAGGAAACTTTGAGAAAAGAATAAATAATCTAGGTACAGGAAAGTCTTCATGGCGGTACAAGGCTGATGTTTTTGAAAGAATAGCAGAGTCCACTATAGCTGGAGAAGATGAATATGTATGTGGTCGGGGGAGGCAGTGTTTGGACCTGAAGTCAAAGAGATAAGGCAGGGAGGAGGGTGGGGGAGCAGCAGTGGGGAGACAAGATCATTTAGGATTGGGCCTTATATCCTCATATTTTGAGATAAGGGGGGATTTGAACAGAGAAGTCATATAGTCTGAGTTAAAAGTTTTAAAAGAATCACAAAAGTAATCCATGAGTTCTTTTATATGTTCATATAGTGCTTAAGTATCTGTGTGTTTGTGTTTTCAGATATATTATTATCTGTCTTATATCTTCTTAAAGATTGTAAAAGCCTCAATTATATAGAAACTCATTTTCTTTTTTATTTGTAGGTTTCTAAATCTAGTAATCCATTTTGCATTGTGACTTAGAGTAAAAGAGAGGAATAAGACATCTCTCAAGCTGTCACCTTGAAGAGGGACCAATTTACTCTTTATTAATATTTTTTAACTTTCTTATAGGGGAAGATTGGTTTTAATTCTTCCTGTTGAGTCAGTGGCTGATAATTCTCATTAAATCCAACAGTTAACACAACTAAATTATTTTTTTAATGGGCTTTAGAATTCACTGACCAGAAACACACATCAACTAATGAAACACAGTCAACAATCAATAGTCAATATGTGAAATTTGGAACATTATAGAAGGAGATACAAATCAAATGGCTTAGTCAAGGTGAATAAGAAAAAGCATACTCTGAAAAACATAAACTAGCAGCATAGCTCGGATAGACATGCCTCTATACGTTTGGTTCTTTTCCATCATATTTAACTTGCAAGTTACAGCCATTATATTATCTCTTCTTTCCCCATAGGGACTTTATAAGTTCTTTTTAGAATATGGAGTGTTAGTAGAGACTGTAATAATTTTTGTTAATTCCATTCTTAGGATACTGAAATAGTAAATGTTGAGGCCTCATCATTCAATACTGTCGGAGTCGGTAACAATTTAACTGAATTTTGAAATTAAAAGTAACAGTTTTTTGAGATTCTGAAATATTTAACTCCTTAATGTTAATCTAAGCGGCAAAATTTAGAAGTATTTTCAAAGAATTCCCTTATTTCAACTACATACAGTCCAAAGCCTTTGATGATGTAAGTACCCTAAAACTGTTTATTTATCTAACTCTTCTCAGAAACTTGTGTGATCTCTGAGGAGAGACTAGTACATGTTAGGAGTTCAGAAAATGTTTATTAAATAAATACACGTGATTCTCGTAAGTGGATTAGCTTGCATTTATTGTAAGAATTTCTTTGAAAGATGATTTCGCTGGAAGGGATGATTTTCTTCTAGGTCTAGCTCATCACTGACAAATAAAAGAGCATGAGAGAATATTAATTGTATTGTTTTTTGAGGTTGGGGGTCTAGAGCAAGTTTATAATTTTAATGATTATAGAGGTAAAAATGTTTGAACTATTATTCCTCAGAGTATTCCTAAAGCATATTTTCTAACAAGTTGACAATGAGCATGGAAAAAAATCTATATATTATATAATCAAAGAAATTTTATTTTTTAGCTTCTTTACACAGATAGGAATTTTGTGATTTGTGCTCCAACTGGTTCTGGGAAAACTGTAGTGTTTGAGCTAGCTATAACGAGGTTGCTCATGGAAGTACCATTACCATGGTTGAACATTAAAATTGTTTACAGTAAGTATATTTTGTAAGAATAATGATTAATTATAATAAGAAAATATTGAACCAGAAATGAAGAAGTAAATTTGGTTCAAAGCACAGGCATTATTATTTGGTTTCCCATATATTTTTAAATAAATGGGTATTTATTTAATTTATTTTGGGGTGCTGGGGATTGAGTCCAGGGATTGAATCTTGCACATACTAGGTAAGCAAGCACTCTACCACTGAGCTACACCCCAGCCCTAATACATTATTCTCTTTTTTGTGGTGCTAGGAATCAAACTCAGGGTCTTTTGGATGGTAGGCAAAGGTTCTACCACTAAGCAATATTCCTAGTCCATACATTTTTCAGTAATAACATACCACAATTGGTTTTCTCTGTTATGTTAGGTTCAAAACACATTTTCCCAGAATTATAAGTAAAAATAATATTTGAGTTGAGGGTTTGAACTGTATATGCTTTTTTTAAAAGACAGTCAAAATGAGCAGATAAAAAATCATACATTTTGTAATTCTGGAAGTTTATAAAGGTACCACTGCTCTCCTCTTTTAGTGTTTTTTAATGTTTTTCTTCAATGTAATATATGCACATGATGCATATCAGAAAGGTGCTTTAAAAAAAAGCAATAACATTCCCTATCTCCATTATTAGTTATACTTCCCTGAGCAATCATTTTTATTTCTATCTTTATTTCTTTATGGTGATTACCTTTATATCTCTAAATAATATGCCTATATTGGTAACTTTTAACTTACCCGAACTTTATTAACTAAAGTTTGTGAAAATACTTTTAAAATTGGACTCATGTTCAAAGTAAATATATTATTATAGTGGCACCGATAAAAGCCCTGTGTCATCAGCGTTTTGATGACTGGAAAGAAAAATTTGGACCAATAGGATTAAACTGTAAAGAACTCACTGGAGATACAGTAATGGATGACCTATTTGAGATTCAGCATGCCAATATTATTATGACAACTCCAGTAAGTATTTTTATACTTTATTTCCTTTATTAGAAAATATTTCTCTTCATCAAGAGAAAAAGTTAAATGAAAATACAAAGTAGAAACATTGTAAGCAAATTAACATCAAAAGTAATTCTATTCAAGGTACAAAGAGAATACCTAAAATAAATAAGTAGAAAACAAATGACCAAATAAGAAAAATGGGCAAAGAATACCCAGTATGTTATTGTGGATAATTTGTAGTCATATTTATTGCTTATATTGTTTTGCCCACATATTATGTATTACAAGGGAGTACCTTGGTAGAGCTTAAAATATGTAATTAGACCATGACTTTAAATAGCTTTTGTGGTTAAACTGAAAAAACAAAACAAAACAAAAAAAGGACCTAGTTCTTTTTTATAAGACTGTCAAAATCCCTTAAATAATATTTGGTCATTAAATCTTTTTCTGGACTCTTTTAAGGTAGCAACCAAAACATTTCCCGTCATTTGTAATATGTTCTATTAGAATTTTTATTGATGTTTTAAATAATACTTCTAATTCATTATCACATTAAACAACTTGTACTTTTTCTGTAGGAAAAATGGGACTGCATGACTAGGAAATGGAGAGACAACTCTTTGGTCCAACTAGTTCGACTATTTCTCATTGATGAGGTAGTGAACACATTATTCACTTTCAGAGATAAACATAAAATAGTGATTAAATTGGGTAGAAAGAAATATGCCATTTTCAACCAACAAATTTGCTTAATCCCTTAGAAAATACTCATTTTCTCAAGGGAAAATGTAATATTTTTGTATATTTTTAATTGATTAAATAGATCTTTAGAGTTATAGCTAATGATTATTTCTTGATTTCTTGCTTAGGTACATGTTGTAAAGGATGAACATCGTGGTCCAACCCTTGAAGTTGTAGTTAGCAGAATGAAAACTGTACAGTCTTTATATCACCCTTTACAAAATACCAGCACTATTATTCCAATGAGATTTGTAGCTGTATCTGCAACAATTCCAAATGCTGAGGATGTAAGTTAGAATTTAGTTTCTTGTGTTTTTTATGACTTGTGAAATGTCTAATCATTTTGATGTCAGAGTAAAATTAAGTTTTTTTCTGTCAGTCACCTATTAAGTTTAATAGAAAAGTATGTTATAGAAATTTATGGCTAGATCTCATAAGTATTAAGACCATAAAATTTGATTGATCAAAGTTTAATAAAACATTTTCAGTAGAAGTACACTGTTTCTTAGTACCTAAAACACTTAAGTTTCATGTGTGGTCATTGCAACCAGCTGACTAATTATATAGCAAAGTAGGGTAGAAAATAAAAATCATTACCAAGATGATTACCACCCCTTCCCTAACTCTCTGTACCTGGTCTTATGGTAAATACTAATAATTGGTGCAAAGTGAAAACACGGGGATAGTATAAACTGCAAACAATTGTCTCTTTACATGTCCATATACCCATTAAGTATGAGATTCCACTCTAGGGCAAAGTCCATATGTTCTCACTCGAGAATATTTCAAATCTCTTCTTGTCAAATATAAGGGTTCATTTTTATAGCAAGGACTAGCGCCTCATTACTAATGACTGGGTGAAGACAAGGATTGCTTACCACAGCTCTAGGAACTAAGTAGTGACTCTAGTATTGAGTCTGAAATGTGCTTTTGACACTACCATCTTTCAGTATTTATTTGTTCTCTGGTTAAAAATTGCAAACGCTTGCCAACATGAGGCAACCATTACTTTGCTACTATTTAGCTAGTATTTAGGAAAACACAGAAGTTTTAGTTATTTTCAGGTATAATTCTTAAAAAATAGCACTGATGTTACATGCCAGGTGCCAGTGGCTCATGCATATAATCCTAGCTACTTGGGAGATTGAGATTGCAAGGATCATGGTTTGAGGTCAGTTCAGGCAAAACAACAACAACAAAAAAATCATGAGACCCCATCCCAATCAAGAGCCGAGCACTGGGACACACCTGTTACCTCAGCTACACAAGAGGCTGAGATTGGGAAGATCATGATTCCAGGCCAGCCTGGTCAAAAAGTTCATGAGACCCTATTTTAACAGAAAAAGCTGGGTGTGGTGGTATGTGCCTTTCATCTTAGCTATCGTGGGAAGCATAAAATAGGAGGATTGTGTCCAGGTCCACCTGGGCAAAAAGCAAGACCCTATCTTCAAAACAGCCAGAGCAAAAAGGGCTGGAGGTGTGATTAGAGGTAGAGTGCCTACCTAGCAAGTATGAAGCCCTGAATTTAAAACCCGGGTTTAAGGAAAAAAAAAAAAAAAGAAAGAAAGGTGTTCTGATAATGGTGAGAAATTTGATTTCTATAACATCAAATTTAATTTTATTTTGGATTCTTATGGGGGAAAATAAAATAAAACAATAATAATTAATTAGAAGTTTCCCATAGAGAAATGTGAGTATAGTCTTGAAATACTGCTATTGTTACCATATCAGTGGAATATGTAATGTTGAAAGGACTGCTCTGTTAAATACCTTTATACTTGATTTTAAGGTGGACTATAATTACACTATTTTAAACCACAGGAAAAAAGCTGCTAGAAAAATTTACTAGAAAAAACTTAATGTGCATGTTTCTGTTTTCTGAAGATTGCAGAATGGCTTTCAGATGGTGAAAGACCTGCTGTATGCCTGAAAATGGATGAGAGCCATAGACCTGTGAAACTTCACAAAGTGGTCCTTGGATTTCCCTGCAGTAGTAACCAAACTGAATATAAGTTTGATATAACCCTCAATTACAAAATTGCAAGTGTTGTAAGAACATATTCTGATCAGAAACCCACACTTGTGGTATGGATTGTTGGTTGCTTATTTTTTATGTTTTAGTTTTAATATGATTTAGTTTTAGTTTTTATGTTTTAGTTTTAATATGATTAATACATAAATTATTAATTCATTTTCAGTTTTGTGCAACAAGGAAAGGTGTGCAGCAGGCTGCTTCTGTACTTATGAAAGATACTAAATTTTTTATGACTGTGGAACAGAAACAAAGGTATTTTTTTCATTTTTTTCTTTGAAGTACATGGGCTTTTAGGGGTCGTGTAGATGAGATGAGTAAAGTGGATTCATCCCTAGCTACTTGATAGCTCTAAGCCTCAGTTTTCTCATTTGTAAAATAAGAATAATAGTAATTTTAAGAATTAAGAATTAAGAAAATTAATCTTATTACAACTATTAGCTTATCTGTACTTCTGAATGATAAAATTTATCTGTATTGCTTTTTTCATTTTTTCACCCACTTTCCATCCAGCCTCTATTGCAATCTTTCACTAAAGCTGTCCTTGCCAATTAATCTTTCCTGAGCCTCTAGCACATTTGACCACTTTCACCATCTTTAAACACACTTAACTCTGCTCTCCCATGATCTTCTATGAATTTTCTTCCTAATTTGCAGGCTTTTCATTGTCAGTACCCTTTTACCTTTTGACATTCTGGGGGATTCTATCTCAGTTTCACTTTTAGTAATTTCATACTCCTAGGTATCTGCATCTATTGACTTTCAGGTTTAAACAATATGTTTCTATATCTATGAATATCCAGATTTATACCTCCAGCCTAGACTTTCCTTATGAACTCCAGACCTGAAATCCATCTGTCTAACTGACATCTAATTATAGGTCTTACAGGCTTTTCAAACTCTGTGTTCAAAATGGAATCTTGGTTATTTCTCTCAAGCCAGCTCTTCCTCCAGCATTTCTAACTTAATTATACATCATCTGTCTAGTTGCTCATGGTAGAAACCTATCATTCATACCTCTCTCTGATTCTTTCCCATAGGTAATTGATTCCCTGTCCTGTTTATTCTTAACTTCTAACTATAATAACCCACTAAGTCACCAATCTAATGGTTTTTAAGGGGTGCAACTTGAAGGATGACTAGAAGTTACTTAAAAAACATTCCAGGATAAGAAACAATAATGCAGGGCAGCCCTGGTTAAGGTAACAGTTTGCTGCATTTGTAGAACAGAAACCAATATGGCCTGATTACTGACTAAAGGAAAAGCATGATCATAATGAGTTTGGAAAATTAGCTAGGCATCATATTATACAGGGTACGGCAAACCATACTAAAGGTTTAGGATTTTATCCAAATGACAAGATACAATTATAGGGTTTTAGGCAGAATACTGACAAATTTAGTTTTATAATTTTTTATTCTTTGTTGTTTGTTTATTCATAGTTCAGAGTAGCTTTTTTAAATCATACTGTTGTGCTGAGGGTACATTGTGACATTTATAAATGTTCTTATACTATAACATAGTTGAATTCACCCCATCCATCATTCTCCTTTATCCTTTATTCCCATTCCTGGAATAATTGTAACCATGTCTCATTTTTCCACTTTCATACATAAGTACATAGTATTTCTACTACATTAACCCTACTATGCCCTTTCCTTATATCTTCCCCTCTCCCACTAGTACTAACCCCCAGGCAGGACCTTTTTAACCTCCCTGTTCTCCATTTTTGATAAAACATTTTTGTTTCTTTAAGATAGCTATACGGAGAATTTCATTATGACATTTCCATGTACAGATGTACTATAACCTGAATTGTTTCATCCCTTCTGTTTATCTCTTTTCTACCTTAGTCCCCTTCTTATGGTGACTTCAGGTTTAAAAATTCTATATTCATTCTTGTACAGAAAGTACATAACTATATTCACTTTCTTAGCTTCCTTCTTTTATCCTCCCTCTCCTATTAGTGACCTCCCCTTAGCATAACCTGTTTTCACAATATTTCTTGTATTTGTATTGTGTCTATCTCCCACTTATGAGAAACAACATATGGCCTTTGTCTTTCTGAGCCTGGCTTACTTTACTTAACATGATATCCTCCAATTGCATTCATTTACCTTTAAACCACATAGATTCATTCTTCCTTATGGCTGAATGAAACTCCATTTTATATATCTCTCTATATATAAATCACATTTTCTTAATCCATTCATTAGTTGTAGGACATCTGGGCTATTTTCATAGCCTGACTATTGTGAACAGTGCTGCAATAAACACTGGTGTGCAAGTGTCTCTGTTATATCCTGAATTCCTTCAGGTATATCCCTAAGAGTGTGGTATTACTGGATTGTACAGCAATTCTATTTTTAGTTTTTTGAGGGGCCTCCATTCTATTTTCCATAGTAGTTATACTAATTTACATTCCCACCAACAGTCTATGAGGGTTCCTTTTTCCCCATATCCTCATTTGTTGTTGTTTGTGTTCTTGATGATAGCCACTCTAACAGGGGTGAGGTGGTTTTGATTTGCATTTCCATTATGGCCAGGGATGTTGAGCATTTCTTATGTGTTTTTTGGCCACTTGAACTTCTTTCTTTGAAAAAGCTATGCTCAGTTCATTGCCCGTTTCTTCATTGGGTTATTGATTTTTGGGGGGAATTTAGTTTTTTGAGCTCCCTGTACATTCTGATGATTAACTCCTTATCCGATGTATAGCTGGCAGAGGTTTTTTTTCCCCATTCTGTGGGGTGCATCTTCAACTGTTTCTTTCATTGTGACTTTATTATGTAGAGAATAAAGTAGCAAACAAGTATGTATGTGGTCAACAGATAAAAGCATATAGACTAGGCAAGAGATTAGTAGTGACTTTAATTGGGGAGGTGAGAGTGCTGATGAAATAAAAAATGACCTATTTGAGATATACATTCACAAAGGTGGTACCCCATGACCTACTCACATATCACTGTGCCCCACCTCTTAAAGGTCCAACCACCTCCTGATGTTTCTTTATTCACCTTTATAAGCATCTGTACTTTCATTTCATAGCACTTACTGCATTTGTAACAAATACCTTTAGCTTAATTTTTTTTTTTGGTGGTGCTAGGGTTTGAACTCAGGGCCTCACACTTGGCAGACCACTTGAGCCATGCCCCTAGCCCTTTGTGCTTTGGTTATTTTTTTGAGATAGAGTTCTTGCTTTATTCTCAGGCTGGCTTGGAACCACAGTCCTCCTATGTATGCTTCCTGCATAGCTGGGATTATAGGTGTGTACCACAATACTCAGCTTTTATTGGTTGAGATGGGAGAATCTCACAAACTTTCTGCCTGAGCTGGTCTCAAACCATGATCCTCTTGATTTCTCCTTCCTGAGTAGCTAGGATTATAGGTTTGATTATACCTAGGATTATAGCCATCACACCTGGCTTTTTAAATTACTGTTTTAATATTTGTTCTGTTCATTAGACTGTAACTTTCTTATGGAAAGGGGGGGGACTTGTATTCATCTTCTTTACCACTTAGTCTTATCATAGATACTATTTAATGAATATTAGCTTCTTATCATTAATAACAGCTTTTGGGAATCAGTAAATATGTTTGGTGGTAGACCTCAGATGAATTGGTCTACCAATTCATTGATTGGATTGAATAATTACATGTACATATGAGCAGATGCTTATTTTTCTGACTAATTTTGTGTAGAGGATATACTGTTCTCCACTATGGATCAGATCAACTGTTGTATTACCAGTCTGTCACTAATAAACAGAAGACATGTATCAAGCCTAGAGGACACCATTTTAGTTTTCTAGACATCTTTTGACTTTCTATTCAGTAAAATGATGGATATCCAGCCATTTTAGTCCATTAAAGAATTATAAACAAGCCAGGCACTGGTGGCTTATGCCTGTAATTCTAGCTACTTGGGAGACTCAGATTGGGGGAATGGTAGTTCCAGGCCAGCCCAAGCAAAAAAAGTTCATGAGACACCCCCATCTCTTCAGAAAAAAGCTGGGCATGGTGGTGCATGCCTGTCATCCCAGCTACTGTGGGAAGCATAAATTAGGAGGGTCATGGTCCAGGCCAGCCTGGGCAAAATGGTATCTCAAAAATAACCAGAGAGAAAAGGGCAAGCAGTAAGTACAAAGCCCTGAGTTCTAATTCCAGTACCACACACACACACACACACACACACAAATATAAACATAGCTTCCTGTCTACATTCTAGATAGTATTTTCATGCTTTCACTTCCGTTTCAAAGATTTCATTTGATCTGCTTGGTTACTGCCTTATAAAAACAATCTCTGGGGTATAAAGCATGCAGAGTGGGGCTTTTATCATGTATATCAATAAAGCAAGATTAAGGAATAAGATAGTGAGCAAAACCAACAAAAGACTTACAGCTAAAATATAGACGAAAGTAAAATTGATGCTAACAAGGTAATAATAACATAGATTTCTTTCTGTCTGCCTGCTAAGCTTTGGAAATGGTTTGTTCCTAAGCTTATACTAGAAACTTGGTCTCCAATGTAATAGTTTTGAAAGGTGGTGGGACCTTTAAGAGGGGGCCAAGTAGGATGTGAGTAGGTCATGGGCTCACCACCTTCATAAATAGGTTAATGTCTTTCTTGACAGACTGTATTACTTCTCTTGAGACTGGATTAGGTATCACAAATGTGAGTGAGTTCTCGTGGGACTGGATTAGATACTGTGAAAGTGGTCAGCCTTATCTGTCTGTCTGTCCCTCTTATGTGGTCTTTGCACATACCTGTTTTCCTTTGCTTTTCCACAATGCACGGAGCAGCACATGGCTTTCACTAGAAGCCAACCAGATTATGACAACATGTTCTTCCAAAATTGAATGCATCCCTTTTCTTTTATAAACTACCCAGAACCGAGGATTTTTGTTAAAGCAATGGAAAATTGACTAAGCCATCACTGTTTTGTTTTATGCTCCAAAGAATGTTACTCACATGTTGCAGTCTTTTATTAGGAACAGTTACCAATTGAATAGAATCTCATTTGTCTATCTTTTATGCTCTGTTTTCACTTTATTCCCTGAGAAAAGCATAAATGAAAGAAATTGTACACCATTTTAAGTTAGTGCAGACTAGGGAAGGAGACAGTTGCTCACATTATAATTCCCCTTTAACTAGTAATTTTTAGCTACACCCAAAAAGCTTTTTGTTTTTTTGCCCATCAAGCCCTACATGTTATTGCTAAGGCTTCTAAACTTGGCTAATATGACCCACTTTTCTGTACTGTGTTCTTTTTAATTTCTATTAAAGAATAGTCTCTTATACAATTAAATAAGAAAGTCTGTATTTTAAAATTTCTAAGCTAACTACAAGAATTTAATTGGAAGTATTCTTATAGTGAGAATGCCTCATGAGCCTTTGACTTTGATCAAGAATAATCATTGGCTAGATTTAGCCAGTGATCACGCAAATGAGGAGAGTGTATGCATCCATTAGGCACTTTTTCTGGTAAAACTGTTTTCTACATCAGATCATTAATAGTTTTCATACTGCTGCACTTGGTTTATAACATTCTTGATTGCTAATTTTTAAATTTTTTAACTAAGTTGGCGTTCCCAAAAACAGATTGACTAGTTCATTACAAAACTAGTAATACAGTAAAGGTAAAACTGGCATTAAAGACCAGTGTATAGGTATAGAGAAAATAGGATATAAATAGCTGTAAGTAATTTGGAGCCCTGTACTTGTTGGGAATAAAGTAAGTGATTAAGTTGGGCCATCTCTGTGTGTCTCTGTCTCTCTCTTATCTCTGTGCTCTCTTGCTCTCGCTCACAAACTAGGACCTCATGTAAGCACTCTATCTCTGAGCTACACCCTACCTATAATTTACTAGTTAGATCTTGATATATGGAATTGGCCATCATATCATATTACTTTAATAATTAAATATGGCAACATTTCTAAAATAACTAATGGCTAACTGTGTGTAGCAGCTAGTTTATACTTAATAGTAACATGTTTGTCTTCATTCCATTGGGAATCTTTGAAAAATTCTGAATATTATAAAATGTGCCTCATATTGTCATATCTACAACGGGAATGGAAAAAACATCAATTTGGGGGTTTTGGATATATTTAATAACCAAGCCTACCAACCTTCAGAATCTTTGAAAGTACCCAGAATTCCTTTTCAAATTCTCAAGAAACTTTCTCACTTCTCTTTAGTTTAATTTACATGTCATATCTCAGAATATAATAAAAAATTATTTTTATTTCTGTCTTTTTTTGGTTTACTTACCAGTGATACAGTAAAGTTTTAAAAGTTGTTATTCCTTATATTTTTAATTTATTTTGTAGTATTATTGTTGTACAAGGGGTACATTGTGACATTTACAAAAGTTCTTACAATATATAATTGTTGAATTCACCCCCTTCTTATAAACATTTTAAGGTGAATTATGGGAGTAGACTTTCATATTCTGACCCCATGAATATAATACCACTTACAACATTTTTTTCTTGTGAAAAAATGAGTTTTCTAAATTCTTAGTTTAAGCTTTAATATTATAGCTAACAAATTAGGGACTTGTGAATATGAAAGTTGGATATTCCCTGTGTTTTAACGATAGCTTTTAGGTAATATTTCAAAAGTCTTTTTGTATTTTTAAGTTTTAAAATTAACTTTCAGAGTTATCTGATATTGGAATAACTCAATGGTATTTTTAACAGGTTACAGAACTGTGCATGTTCTATAAGAGATTCAAAACTGAGAGGTATGTTTATATACTTTGTGAGTGTGTGTGTTTCTGGGGATTGAACCTAAGGCCTCATGCATGCCAGGCAAGTGCTCTACCACTAAGCCAAATTCCCAGCTTATAAATAATGTTCAGCTATAGATAAAAAGGAGTCAATTACTGGTGAAATATTAACAGTAACTGAAAGGTGGTATATTTCTATTATAGATACCTTAATACATGGTATTGCTTATCATCATGCTGGTTTGGAGCTGTCAGATAGAAAAGTAGTAGAAGAAGCATTTATTATGGGAGATATACCAGTTCTTTGTAAGTCAAATGTATTTCTTGTGAATATTAAAAATATTTTGGAAAGTTGTCTTTAAGAGGATAAAGCTTAAGTATTATGACTTGTTTCTGCTTTTCTTCCAAGAAGTTAAAATGATGCGACTACTAATGCATGTACAAGCTGTGGCAATGTTTAGTTTGTTACTGAACATAGTGCTATTTGAAATGTAAGAATTTAATAGTTTTCTGGGTTTAGGATATATTATTTTACATTATAATGTCCTTTTCCCCTTTTCTAAATTTCTTAGTTTGTATTGCATTTATATCAATAATTGTTTTATAGGACAGTATCTTCCTGGAATGATAAAATTATGAGGCTTGAAATTAATATTCCTTAATTTGATACAGTTACTACTAGTACTTTAGCTATGGGAGTAAATTTACCTGCTCACCTGGTAGTTATAAAATCTACAATGCATTATGCTGGAGGAATGTTTGAAGAGTACAGTGAAACAGATATTCTACAGATGATTGGTAGAGCTGGTCGTCCTCAGGTAAATGACAGTTACCTTTAGTTTTTTAACTTAAAGACATAGCAACCCCCCCTTTTGTATTAGTAATTCATAATTAGATAAAGTTGAAAGTTATGTAACTGAAAAAAAACAACTTCAGTAGAGGAATAGAATTGAAACAAGTTTCACTAACAGGGACATATCTCACCTTTACTCCTCAGCTGTCTAAACAACTATCAGTTAGTAAAGGGATGGGTTTATGAATGAGTATACTGCTAAACGTCTTTTTGGTTTTGGGGGAGTTTATTTGTTTTGTTTTTTTATTATGAGTGGAGATGCTATTGGCATTTTGGGTGGGACAGTTTTTCATTGCTTAAAACTGTTATGTGCATTATAGAGCATGTAGCATCACAGGTTCCTAGCATTAAATGCTAATGGTAGTCCCCAGCTAATGTTATCACAATTTAATTGTGATAATTAAAAGTTAGCATATAATACATTTCAAAATATACCCTGTTCTGATAAATGCTTGAATGAAGCTTCATTCATACAGGTATTAAGAGAACATTCAGGAGGAATATCTTTTCAAATGGTCAAAATACTGTGCTATGCAAGTTTACAAGGATAAATAAGATTATATGTATGTTTGGGTTTTTTTAAAGTTTGTTCATTTGGCGGTGCTGGTGTTTGAACTCAGTGCCTCATGCTTTCTAGGCAGATGCTCTGCCACTGACCCATACATCAAGCCCAAGATTATATACTTCTATCTTATAACTTTTATCCAATCACCAGTTTGTTTTGACTTTAACATTGCAAAATTATGTCATTTTGAAACAGATGTGAACTTCACAGTTATTCTCTTGGATGATTTTTAAATTAAATTTTTGTTAACATTCAAAATCAGAAGTGTTTTTTAGAACTTTTGACCTGTTATTTAAGGGAAGGGGATTGTTTAATATAAAATAAAACCTGAGTTATTGAAAAGGACTGTGGTATCATGATATGCTCTGATCCTTACTAAATTTTTCTTCCAACTTTTTTTTCAGTTTGACACTACAGCTACTGCAGTTATTATGACCCGGTTAAGTACAAGAGAGAAGTACGTTCAGATGTTAGCTTGTAATGACACTATAGAAAGCAGGTAATACAGAGAAATTCCAAAAGGATAATATGCTAATGTAACTTGATTTTTCTTTTAATATATTAAAAGGAAATTTGGTTTTGAATTTTCTAAGGCCGTTTTCTTGAAAATTGCCAACAATTGAACTAGAGAGTTTGTGTCATTTTTTTTCTTTAAGAAGGCAACAGTTTTATTCAGTAGTGTTTCTTAGCAGGTGTAACATGTATTCTTGTTTTAAAAGACCTAAATTGTAATAAAATCTTACTAATTATTATTCTAATTTATAAATGATATGAACTTATAATTACTAATGTGTAGTAAGAGAATAACATTTTCACATCTTTGAAATTTGTTTTATAGTAGAGAGAGAGAAATATACACAATCAGGGACCTTTTTCAGTATTTCATCAGTATTTGATATATTTTCTCTTGGGGAAAATAGAATATAATTCAACCTCCTAGAGCCATGAAATAGAGAGAAATCTAGTATTTTTAGTAGTTGAGCTGACTTTTTAAGCTTCTTCTTCTATTTTTAGAAGTTATCTTTCATGATTTGTTAAAGAAGCAATAAGCATATCTATTATTAAAGTTAAAAAAGTAATATTTATTATGTTGAAATGTATATTGGTAATACAGAAGTTTGTTCTTCTTCCGTTAGTTTGCACAGACATCTTATTGAACATTTAAACGCAGAGATAGCATTGCATACCATCACAGATGTGAATGTCGCTTTGGAATGGATACGATCAACCTTGCTTTATATCAGAGCCTTGAAAAATCCATCTCATTATGGTTTGTTACTTTGACCTGAAAAGAGTATTTTTTTTTTCCTCAAGCCAGTAAGCCTCTATTTATACTATTAGGTTACAGAATGGATTTCAGAATCTAATAGGTAACAGAAACAAAAGCTAACAATAGTCACAAAATTATGTTTAGAGATAAGAGTGGATAAAACAGTGAGGAAATTATCTGTCCTAGTTCTAGTCTTTTAATAAGCTTTCTAATTGATACCATTAAAAACAGGTCCAGTAGAAAAAAACTTCAACTCTGACAAAAATAGGAAAAATGCCTTTAAATCATGTAAAATAAGTTAGTTTTAAGATCTTGAATTTTTTCCACACATAGTATTTGATGCTGTGTTCTGAATTTGTGACAGCTCATTTTTCAACTTAAAGAAATCAAAGTTAAAAAAGAGAAAGAAATCAAAGTAATTCATCTGTTACTGTTGCTGTGGACTTTTTGTTCTAGTTCTAAAGCTAACACACATCTGACTATGTTGCTTCTAGAGGGTTTCAGGTTATAAAAAAGATTGAGATTGCTCAATATCAAAACCCGATTCATTGCAATACCAGGTTCAGATCTCCAAGGATAATGTAAGCCTTTATTATAAGAATATCTCAGCCAGATGTGGTGGCTCTTGCCTGTAAACCCAGCACTTGATAGGTGGGGTCAAGAGGATCTTGAGTTCAAGGCCTATCTGGGATACATAGTAAGACCCTGTCTGAAAAAGCAAAAAAGAATATCTTCATAAATGTCTATATCATTTAACACTTTTTATTTCTACTAGGTAATAAATATATTTACTTAATTCAAAAATCATTAAATATAAGAATGTTTATTATTAAAAGTCTTCCATGCCTAACCCCATTCAGGTCCCATTTCTTCCCTTTTCTTTCCTCTAGTTCTGTAATCATTGACATGCTTTTCTTGGTGTGATCTTCCTCTTTTTTGTGTATAAAAGCAAATAAATTCAGGCATGGTGGCAAATGCCTGTAATCTCAGCTATTCAGGAAGCATAGGTAGGAAGATATTGGTCAGAGGTCAGCTCTGGGCAAAACCTGTAAGACCCTATCTGAAAAATAGCTAAAGCAAAAGGGGCTGGAAGCATGGCTCAAAAGATCTTGCCTACCAAGACGCAGGCTCTGAGTTCAAACTCTAGTATTGTCCCTCCAAAAAGCTAATAAGGTGTAATTTCATTTTTCCACTTTTGAAACATAAATAATGGCATGCTGTATTAGTTTTCTATTTCTTTGTAATACATTTCCCTAAAACCTAGCATCTTTCAATAAGCCAGTATTTTATGATTGTTAAGAATCTGGAAGTATTTAAGCTAGCTAGTTCTGGATCAGAGTCTTTTAGGGTTTCCGTCATCTGAAGGCCACAGTGAGGCTTGAGGATTCACATCTGAGAAGGTTAATGCACAGAGCTCTTGTTTGGAGGCCTTAGTATTTGACCTCATAGACTTCTCATGACATGGCAGCTCTTTTCGCTCAGAATGAATAATCCAAGACAGAGAGTGACTAAGTCAGAAACTGCCCTTCCTTTTTATACCTTGTCTGTGAAGTCACACATCATTACTCCTGCTTTATTTTGTTTCCTAGAAGCAAGTCACTTAAGTCCTGGCCAGGTGAAGGAGAGAGGAATTAAACTCACCTCTTAGAGGAAAGAGTATCAAAGTCTTTGTGGAAGGATGAGTATAGTGGCTTATGTCTGTAATCTCAGCTACCTAGTGAGATCCTCCAGCTATGCAGGATACCATAGGTAGAAGGATCTTGGTCTGAGGCAGAGCCCAGACACCCCCCCAAAAAAGCGAGACCCTACCTTAAAAATAACTAAAAGCAAAAGAGAGTTGGGGGTATGGCTTAAGTGGTAAAGTGTCTATCAAGCATGAGGCCCTGAGTTCAAACCCAAATACTGCCAAAAAAAAAAAAAGTCTTTGTGGATATATTTTTAACCACACTGATCCACTGTTCTGAAACTTTATTTCCTTTTTTCCCTTTTTTTTTAAATAGATAAATAATATTCCATTTTACCTATCTATTGTATATTTAAGCAATCCAAATTGATGAGTGTTTATGCTTTGTAAATTGTTTTCTATTAAAAACAATTCAAAAAAGTAACCCTGCATTTTTCATATATGCTAATTCATTTGCATGATAACCCTAGAAATGGAATTACTGGGTTAAAGGATATACACATTTAAAAATTTGGTAACTATTGTTAAATTGCTACCTTAGTGGCTAATATAACTACCAGTAGTTTTTGATTCTTTAGCCTACCATCAGGGTAAATACTTGCACATTTTTATCAGTGTTATATGTAAATAATGTTCTGTTTTAATTTGCATTTTTTTCCTTTTCATAGGTACTTTATTTTTTGTAGCTACTTTTTTTGGTGGTACTGGTGATTGAACTCAGGGCCTTGTACTTGCTAGGCAGGCACTTTACCACTTGAACCACATCCCCAGCTCTTTTTGTTTAGATAATTTTTTGGATAGGGTCTTGCATTTTTTCCCAGGCTGGCTTGCAGCTGCCATCCTCTTTTTGTGCTTCCTCCATAGGAGGGATGATAGGTACATGCCAACATGCATAAGTATTGATTGAGATGGCATTTTCACCAACTTTGTTTGCCCGAGCTGTCCTTGAACCATGATCTTCATGATCTCTGCCTCCTGAGTAGGTGAGCATAATCACTTTTTCTTTTTCAAATTTTTAGCAAGGATTTGTATAATATAACATGACAAAGTAGGGAGAAATCAGAAAAAAGAAGGGAGGAACATTTCTTGCTTTGCATGCAGGAAATGGAGTAAAGACTCAACATGGCAGTTCTCAGTTGTGGCCTTATACTTTCTGAGCTGTGTGAATCCTTAGACAGTGGTTTTTGAGTAGGTACGATGGGTGCTGCTTACTATTCTAAAATGTGGAGATGCTGTCTAGTACTACCCAAAACACAGGATAATAGGTAATTTTAGGACTTCTCTTTGTCATTCATGCCTTCCAATTCTCTGTCTCTTTAAGATTTACCGATTTTTAACATCTCAAAGGAGGAGGTGTATACAGATAGTCCCTTTATGCCTCCTCTTCTTGTAATTTAACAAGTAGGTAAGGTGGGAGGGGAGCTAGTTGCTTTGGTTTTTCAGTTTTTACTTCTTGGTTTTAATGTGGGAGTCTGACCCTTTTAACATTTATTAATTTTAGCTCCTCTCTCTTTCCATCTATCTATTCCAACTTCATTTCCCCCCTAAATGAGTTTGACACCTTTTAATCTTAAAAAGGGTACAGAGTCATTTGTCTGTTTTCTGTAGCTGCTCCAGAGATGAAATTGGACTGTTGGCTTTCTGTAGAAAAAGAACCAAAAAGTCATTTCCGTATCTTATTTAGGAAGTGACAAGGGAAACTCACTTGGCAGGAAATTCAGTTGATACACTCAGTTGGTATAATCAGGATCAGAAAACATCAAGTTGTTTTATTGAAAGAGAAGTCGAAGAGAAATTAGTGAAAACCATCCTTTAAAGGAAAGTGTTTCCTATATGTGAGTAAAATGAAGAATTCATCAAAATATTAAAGAAATGTAAAGTTCATAGATTTAGCATACTGAAAACATCTCTCATCCACAGAAACAACATAGTACATGATATTATTAGTGGATTTGCTCTGTCTGAGCCTGGGGTCTTTGTCTCACAAGTTCAAAGAATGAAAATCATGGACAATGAGAGTGAGCAAAGTGGAAGAGTTTATTGAAATAGAAAAAAAAAGCAAAGAGTAGAGCCCCAGAGAAGTGAAGGGTCCTAGGAGAAGGTTACTAGAGAAGTGATGTGCTCTAGGGTTTTTATCCATTTACCCCAGAGTGTTGCTCAGTCTCCATGCTAATTAGGTGCAGAAAGCAGCATTCTGGTTGGCTGCACCTCTGATGTTCTGATTGGTTGTGCCCTCATCCTCATAGTGTCCTCATTCTGGTTCATCCTCCTTTTCCTTCTTTTAACCCTTTAAAGTCACAGGGAGGTCATAATGGAGGTTTCCAGGGGTCCTTCTGTCCTTGCTACACTGTCTAATTTTAGCTAACTGCCTCTTGTATTTGCTCTTTCTGCCCTCTAAAGAAGAACTCTAACTGCCTATAGGGAAAGGGACAATGACTAATTCTGTCTACTTCCTGCTAAGATAGGACATAGGTAGAGGATGGCAGTCAGGGCCTTTTAAAGAGGCCTATCTAAGGGTCTCTGGTAATTGGAGGTCTATATTTGAAGCTCTCATTTTTTATTTTAAATTTAAAAGGTGACAGGGGAAATTTAGTTGGCAGGTTGCCTGGACCAAGACAGGAGACATCCAGTTATTTTTGTTAAAAGAAAAATTAGTGAAAACCATCCTCTAGGGTAACAATTGCTATTTATATGTAGATAAAACTCATAGGATCTTTAAGAAGAATCATAAAAACATTAAGGAAGGGTATAAAGTATATAAATTTAACATACTGAAAACACCTGCCATCCATAGAAACAGGATAGTAGATTGATATCTGCTATAAAGATGGCAAGTGATATCCACCTGTTGTCTATTTAAGATAGAATGGTCAGAATTTTTTAGACCTTGAGTTGAATCGTTTATGGTTTAATAGCCTGGAGATAAACTTTGTTAAAACATTCATGTAAAGTTTAATAAGGAGTATCTGGATTTTTCCTGGAAGTCGTTGGAAAGAAGGCATGGACATCATACCTATGAATCACTTCTTTTTAACCTCTCTGCTTTAATTACTTTTGGATGGGCAGGACACAGTTGACTCCATTTGGAATCTGGCAGTTTTTATTTCTCCTCTTGTCTTTTTAAAACTGTTTTTTAAAGGTTCCTTATCACTGGGAAAACTATGTCCCAGTACATTTTTTTTGTTGCCACATAAGATGTCCTGGTTGATCTGATTTGGTGCCCTGTTGGAGGGGAGAGAGAGGCAGATCAGGTGGAGTTAGTAGTGCCTCTGAGATCCTTTTTGTCCAAATTTAAGCATCAAAGAGGTTTAAAATAAGTGGCCCCTTAGACTGAGCTTACCTGAAGTCCATTAAGTTTAAATTTTTCTGTCTTACAGATTATGTCCTGGCATCTTAAAAAAATGTTCCTTAGTTTAGTTTGTTAAAAAGACGTTGTACTTTTGTAGAACGTCAACAGACAAAAGTTAAACGTTTTACAAGGAAAATATAGAACAAAACCAATTAGAGCAAGTAAGTACTTGCTAGAGATGTTTTCCTTGAGTTTGATTATAAAAGCCTTAGAGAAGGATCCAAACTACAGGTGACATGAACACTTAGAACAGCTATTGTTAGAATTTTAAAATCTTTGGTAATTGATGACAGTTTAGTTATTTTTATTGTATGTAACATTTTAGGACAATAATTATAGTTGATGGCAATATACTAGTACCATTAAACTCTCCATATTACAACTGGGGTACCTGTGCACAAACCTGTCAATGTCTACTATCATTAACAGTTTTAATTTGGAGGATACCAGCTTGGTATGGCATTTTTTAGACATTGTATGTTAGAAGGCTTACTTGGCGAACACAAATACAAACATTAGTATCATAGTTTTATACATGTCATACACATATATTAACATAATTGTTAACCCAGGGAATAACACCTTAAATCTTTTGATAGGTAAGATAACAGATGTACAGCATTAACAAAACAAAACCCTAGATTTTTTAGGTAAGGTAACAGTGTCAGTGAATCCACATAGCCCTCATTTCTTTAGTAGTATGTTAGATGTATTAAAATCATTGAAGAGAAAGATACTTAAATTAATTTACTTATAACCCAGTTTTCTAAATAGTCAAAAGTCTGATAAAGTTGGCAGAATAAAAGCAGTTACTTATCTTGATAAAATAAAACCCTCTCTTATAAGCCAGTTTTTAGCAATTACTAAGAGCAGAATTTTTTTTAAGACAGAGATTTGGGTGCTAGCTTTACAATTTATTAAATTTTGACTTTCAGAAATCCTTTAGGTAAGTCTTAGATTACATTACAGTCAACTTAATTACACACACCAGCTTTTTATAAGTTGCATCTATTATATTTTTTAAGACTTACTCTATAATTTTATGACTTTCTGAGGGCTTGTCCTTATCCTTATTTTCTGTTTTGGAACAATCCTTTAGAGAACAAACCCACTTTACAAAATCCTTTCTTGTCCAAAAGCATTTTCCTTTTTTTCCACCAAAAATAGATTTTCTATACCTTCATGTGTCCTTCTGACTTGTTGATTTTTTTTCTCACTTTTTTTAACTTGCATTTTAAAATAATTTTTATAAAACTTTTAAACTTAGATAAAATTGTTTTTCTAATAAAGTACTCTTAGTAGCCTTATATTTTTATGAAAAAACAGAAAGAAAGAAATCTTAAGTGTTTCTCTGTACAAAAACAATTCACAGGCAGCACATTTGTTTATATATCTATTTATTATAAAAGAGAATTAAATCCCTAAATATATTTATTACAGAATAACACAAGTTAAGGTCTTTTGCTGTTCAAGTTTTGAAAGTCTCTATTTTTTCTTTAGTCTATACTTAAGAGTCGATTCCTGAGTGTTTGCACTCTAGCTAAACCTGATTGAGAGATGATAGCCAATTTTTAAAGTGACAACAGTTTTTAATCTATTGGCTTTATAATAGTAATTTAAGAACCATCCTATAGATGTCTATACATACATACATGTGTGCACACACACGTCTAAAAAGTTTTAAATTAGGCAGACCAACCCTGAATTGTGCATAAAAATTTTAAAAAACTGAAAATTGGCTATAGTAATTAGTCGTTTTCTGGAATTCAGTTCCAGACACAAAAATGTTTTTCCCCAGTGCTTGATAAACTAATGGCACACATTTATTTAAAGAACCAACTTTTTGTTTTGTTGATTGTTTGCATTTTTTTGGTCTCTATTTCATTGATTTTGGCCCTTATTTTTATTATTTCTTTCTTGCTAGTTTTGAGTTTAGCTTATTTTTGTTTTTATAGGAGTTTGAGATGCAGAATTAGGTCATTTTCTTTTTTTAGATCTGTGTTTTTAACATACACATTGTGGCTATAAACTTTCCCCCTTAGCATTTCCTTTCCTGTCCCATAGGTTCTGGTAGGTTGGGCTTTCATTTTCATTAAATTCCAGGAATTTTTTTATTTCTTTCCTTATTTCTTCAATAACCTACTGATCATAGAGCAACATGTTGTTCAGTCTCCAGATGTTTGAGTATTTTCTGCTATTTCTTTTGTTGTTGAGTTTTAGTTTTATTTCATTGTGGTCAAACAGTACATAGGGGGTTATTTCAATTTCTTATATTTGTTAAGACTTGCTTTGTGACCTAAAATATAATCTGTTTCGGAGAAAGTTCCATGGGCTCCTGAGAAGAATATATATTATACTGTTGTGTGGGATGGAATACTTTGTAGATGTCTGTCAGGTCCATTTGATCTGTGGTGTCATTCAATTCTAAAGTTTCTTTGTTGATTTTTGTCTGAATGAACTATCTATTGGTAATAGAGGAGTATTGAAGCTTCCCCCTACACTATATTGAGGTCTGTATTTTTAAATCCAGTAGTGTATGTTTAATGAAGTTGAGTGCACTGACCTTGGGTGCATATAAGTTAATAACTGTTATTTCCTCTTGATGTATTGCTCCTTTTGTTAGTATAAAGTGACCTTCTTTGTCTCTTCTGACTTGCTTTATCTGATGAAAGCATAGCTACTTTTTTGGGGGGCATTAGTTTGGTAAATCTTTTTTCACCTTTCTAGTGCTTTTACATCTTTATGAATGATTGGTTTAATTTTCAGCCGTTGTGTGTGTGTGTGTGTGTGTGTGTGTGTGTGTGTGTATGTGTATAGTGGTTTCTTTATGATTTAGTTGTGTATTTCCCTAATGAGTACAAGCACTAGGATTGCTATGCATATTGGCCATTTGGACATCCTGTTTTGGAAGTGCCCATACAAGTCTTTTAACTATACTTAAATTAGATTATTTGTAGTTTTACTGTTTTTTTGCATTTGGTTGATAGGTCTGTTTATTCTTTTTTAAAATAAATTTGTTAGAATAAATTAATTGTACAAAGGGATTTTATTGTGATAGTTACATACATGCATATAATAGACTGTGATCCGATTTACCCTACTCCTGTCCCCCTTCTTTTTAACAGTTTTTGGTGGGCTTCTTTATACTGTCTGAATATGATATACTTCTGTCATATTCAACCCGGGTCACCCTTTCCTTTCCCACTCCTGCCATGGGTAAGAGTCTTTTGTCAAATATATGCACTCAAATCTCTTTTCTCAGTCTGTGGCTTGGTTTTTCACTTTCTTAAGGAATCTTGATAAAAGGAAATTCTTATTTTTGGTTGTACTGACGGTTGAACTCGTCAGGACTTTGTGCTTGCTAGGCAGGCACTCTACCACTTGAGCCATGCCCCAGCCCTTTTTGCTTTGACTGTTGGTGAAATAGGGTCTTACTTTATGCCCGGGCTGGCCTGGCCCAGGATCCTCCTATTTATGCTTTCAGCATAGCTGGGGTCACAGGCACATATGCCACACCCAGCTATTGGTTGAGGTGGGGCCTCAAACCACAATCCTCTAAACTCCACTTCCTGAGTAGCTAGAATTATAGGCATGAGCCACTGTGTCCAGCCCTTAAAAGGAAATCCTTAGTTTTAAATAATATTGCTGTTAACTTTGTAGCATAATATGTTACATAGTACATATTGTTACTTTAATTTTGATATGCATGTACCTGTGGGTATTTGCCTAGGAACAAAATTAATTACAAAGTATGTGCAGTTTTAACTTTACTAAATAGCACAGTTTTACAAAATGGTTTTATTGCCACTTTTTCATAGGAACATTTCATAGGAACATTCATTTTATAATGAAAGTCCATTAGAAAACAGTCACTTGGCAAAGTTATGTGTAAAACATTAGAATTTTTTTCTACACAGTTCTTATTAAAAATTAGTATTTCTGGCTACTTTTAATAACAAAACAAGCAAAAGATAGCAAATTGCTATTTAAAAGACTTCAAAACAATAGTTGTGTTCTTTAGATAGGTAAGCCTTGTTTGAACCAATGAAGTTATTTTTGTCCTATATGAGATTTAATTATTCTTCTGCAAGTGAGGTATGAACTGCACCTATAAAGATGAATTAAATTCCCACTTTTTAAAAATAATTTATCATGATGTATACAGGTTTTACATCTGGATTGAACAAAGATGGAATTGAAGCAAAATTACAAGGTTAGATGTCTTTCCTTCTAAAAATATATATTATAAATTTTGCTGAAAAAGATCAGTTACTGTGGAAGTAAGGATAATATTTTGTAAATTATTTTTTAAAACAAACTTGCCTGTGGAAAAACTGTTTGAATTATTTCTTTTTTCACACAAAGTGTGGCACATGTTTTTACAATTTTATCAGAGTACGTCCTTTTGTATAATATGCTAACTTGGCTTATTTGTTTTTCATTTTTAAAGTGACCCTGGTCTTTAAAAATGTTGCCTGTAGACACACACTCTATTATTCTTTGGTACTTTAATTTTCATTGAAAATACAAGCCTAGATTGAGTATACATTTTCTTACTCTAATCTGTGCCAATGATATATTCCTATCAAACTTTAGCATTACTATTCAGTTAATAGCTTAGTATTTCATTACTTGTCTTTTTTAATATATAAAAATATTATCATGCATTAGAAGTAGACATTGGTATCACTTTATTGTATTGAGACTGTCTTTTAATAGAAGAAATAATGTTGGATCTGCTAAAAATATTTAGTCAATTTTAATTTGTTCTCTATTTGGGTCTTCACATATTGCAAATAAAATGCATAGATAAAGGATAAAGTAGTAAATTGTCTTGCTTAAAGAATAAATATGTTGTTGAAACGGTGACAAGCAATCATTTGTGTTGATAATGCTGCTGCTGAAATAAAAATTTGTCAGATACTTGCATTTTCTTCTATTATTAACCAATTTTATAATTAAACCTTAAAAATTAGAGTATATATATTTATAATAATGATCAAATACACACAATAAATCTGATAGCCCAAGGGATATCTTGCTATATTCTGATAACTTTAATGTTTTATCTTTTGTTAAATTAGAAGAATTGAAGTTCATGCTCTCCTTATCTTCATTTATTATATGGTTAAATAAGTTTTGTTTTTGAAGAAGACTAGCTAAGTTTATTATATAACTGAATATAAAGTTCTGGTATTTAGGAGAGGAAAAGTAGTATCTTTTCCTTACCCATTGCAAGGTTAGTGGCTGATGGACCTATAAATGAGATAGATTGACAGGAGAAAAGCATAATAAATGTATTTAATGTAAGTTTCACAAATAGAAACCCAAGTGCCTGAGAAGAATTGTATGATTTTATGCTGAGTCTGGTGGAAGAAGTTTGTAGTTTTGGAGAAACATGATGAGACCTAATGGGAATAAATGGGAGGAATTCAGCAAGGGCGGTTTTCTCAGACTCTTCTTGGCTTCTTGGTGTAACATTCCATCCCCCAGATATGGGGCAAGACTCCTTTGGAATGAGGATCTTTTGTCCTACTTTCAGGCAGTTTAAGAGTATGCTCAGTAGCCATGCTTACACAGAAAGGAAGGGAAAATCAGAATAACCTTGCTTCTGAGGCCTTCTCAATCTCCCTCAGTCCAAAGTACTTTAGGGTATCTTTTCTTAGGTTTGCCTTAAGTCTGTCAGGAAGACACCTTAGTGTAGTATATGCTGGTTCCTTATTTCATATCAGAAATTGTGAAGCATATGTCAGAAATACATAAAAACTTTAGTGAAAATCTTTAAATATTATTCTCTATCTAAAATAATATAAAAAAGGGACTGTCTGGGGGAGGATTAGTGAGAGAGGGAAGGAGGAAGGAAAGGATACTGAAGGATAAAGAGGATCAAAGTATGTTAATGTATACATATGAAGACACCGTAATGAAACCCACCAAACAATATTTGTAAAGGGGGGAAATGGGAAGATAATTGAGTGGGTGGACTTGTTCCAAGTATATTGTATTGTATGCATGCATGGAATTATCATAATGAAATACCCTCAAATTATCAATGTATGCTAATTCAAGAATAAAATAAAATTTAAAAACTATTATTCTCTAGATCCTTTCTCAGCTTTACTTTTCTTCATAGTGTTTTCCAATATTGAAAATGTTATCATTTATTTGTGCATTGATTACTTCTTCAGTAAAACGTAAGTTCTATGAAAGAGGAACCTTGTATGGCCTACTGCTGTGAACCTAGAGCTTAGAATAGTGGTCAGCATAAAGTATAGTGAGCATTCTTTCTTGATTTATTGAATAATTAGTGGGTAATGAACTGACTTAATAGTGAGTAACTAAGAGTTTTTGTTATTGTGCTACTCTGCTCTGAGTTATTTTAGTTGTTCTGGACTATAGCATGGGTAGAGTGAGAATTATAATTACCAGCTTACAATTAGTAGTAGGGTACTAATCCATGTAATTTGCTGAATGTAAACTAGCTTTGCTTTCTATTCAGACATTCCATCCAGGTTGAAATGGTGATGTTCAGAGAAATGGAATTAAATACTAAAATCATCTCAAACAGATTTAAGTCTTTGCCTCAATAAAGTGGCAAACAGGGAGGAGGGGAACTGGTGTGTTTTGGAACAAGTTTTTAAAAGTTTTGAAACTCTTTATATTTTGTGTGTATATATCTTTGATAGAAGTTTAAAGAAAAAAGAAAAGAAAGAGAGAATCATGGCCATAATGGAGAACAGGTAGCACAGTAGTTCTTTAGACATGGAACAAATTTCTTAGCTTAACAATTAGTTTCCTAGCCTGTGAACCTAGAGCTTATAATAGTGGTCAGCATATGGAAATAATGTCTTTGTGTACCATATTGTATTATTTTGAGAATTCAGTTCAGGTATATCATTTCAAATGCTCCAAGTAGTAAATGTTATTTTATCACTTATTAAATATTACTTTTACTATTAGAAAATCTTTTAGCATATTGTCTTTTTAAAGTTTCATCTTACTGCTTTAGTGACTCCAGTTCTTCCCAGAACCATAACACGTAACACCGTACCGTAATATAACTTTACCATATTTAAATAATAAATTGTTTTGCCTTCCTTATTTTGCTAAAATTAATATGTGTTTTCTGTAATTAAATAGAATTATGTTTGAAGAATCTGAATGATTTATCATCCCTGGACTTGATAAAGATGGATAAAGATGTTAATTTCAAACCAACAGGTAATTTTCCTGATTGTTAGTAAATTTAACAATTGCTTGCTTAAGACTAAATTAAAAATTTGTTCTACTAAAATTTAGATCATGATAAAACTAAATTGTGATCTTCATTCTCAACAGAGTATCATCATTCTTAGCTGTAAGGCATAATAAGTTACATGAATCCTACTTATGAAAAATATAAAACTTCTTTTTGACAGACACAGGATTTGTCTTCACTAATTCTGGTGACTTTCTACAGAGGATTTGAAATGATTGAATATTTGGGTTATTTTAGATGTGTTTTAAGTAGTATGAATATCTTTTTGCCTGTTCTTACTTCAAATATTGATTATTTGGATGGTTACTAGAGCCCTCTAGGGCAGGAAAAATAACCTTTCATTCTACCCACCATAGGTTTATTGACTGGGGCCCCAAAACAAAAGACAGATTAAGAAGAGAAAAGCATGCAAACGTATTTAATACATGTTTTATATAACATGGGGTCCATTATAAGTATATAAAGGCCCAAAGAAGTGATTAAACCTGAGAGTTTTTTTTTTCTCATTTATTCATATGTGCATACACTGTTTGGGTCATTTTTCCCTCCACCCCCCCTCCCTCCACCCCGCCTCACTTTCAGGCAGAATCTGTTCTGCCCTTATTTCTAATTTTGTTGAAGTGAGAGTATAAACAATAATAAGAGAGACAAAGCATTTTTACTAGTTGAGATAAAGGATAGCTATACAGAGAGATTCCTAACATTGCTTCCATGTACAAATGTGTTACATTCTAAGTTGATTCATCTCTAACTGACCTTTTCTCTAGCTCCTGATCCCCTCCTCATATTGATCTCTGTTACTTTAAAGCTTCTGTACTAGTTCCTCTGCAGCAAGGACATCAAATACTATCATGTTTATTGGGTTTCTTACCTATCTCCATACCTCCTGTGTGTGCTCTCCCCTTGTCATGTGACCCAAATCCAACCACATTACTGTATTTGCCCTAGATCTAAAGTCCGCATACGAGGGAGAACATACGATTTTTGGTCTTCTGAGCCTGGCTAACCTCACTCAGTATGATGTTCTCCAGTTCTATCCATTTACTTGCGAATGATAAGGTATCATTCTTCTTCATGACTAAGTAGAATTCCATTGTGTATGAATACCACACTTTCTTAATCCATTCATCAGTAGTGGGGCATCTTGGCTGTTTCCATAACTTGGCTATTGTGAATAGAGCTGCAATGAACATGGGTGTGCAGGTGCCTCTGGAGTAACCTGTGTTGAATTCCTTTGGGTATATCCCCAGGAGTGGGTTTGCTGGATCATATGGCAGATCTATGTTTAGATTTTTAAGAAGCATCCAAATTTTTTTCCAGAGTGGTTGCACTAGTTTGCATTCCCACTATGGAGGTATGAGGGTTCCTTTTTCCCCACATCCTCTTTAACATTTGTTGTTAGTGGTGTTTTTAATGATGGCTTTTCTAACAGGGGTGAGGTGGAATCTTAGTTTAGTTTTAATTTCTTTTATGGCTAGAGATGGTGAGATTTTTTCATGTGTTTTTTGGCATTTGAATTTCTTCTTTTGAGAAAGTTCTGTTTAGTTCAGTTGCCCATTTCTTTATTGGTTCATTGATTTTGGAGGAGTTTAGTTTTTTGAGCTCCCTTTATATTCTGGTTATCAGTCCTTGTCTGATGTATAGCTGGCAAATATTTTCTCCTACTCTGTGGGTAGTCCCTTCAGTTTAGAGACTATTTGTTTTGTTGTGCAGAAGCTTCTTAGTTTTATGAAGTCCCATTTGTCCATATCATTTCTCTTAGTTTCTGAGCTGCCAGTGTTGTATTGAGGAAGCCTTGCCTATACCTATTACTTCCAGAGTTAAACCTGAGAGTTTTTATGCCAAGTTTGATAATATGTGGGAAGTAATAGAACAAAGGGAACATAAGCTGGGGAAACAGCAAGGCCTGTCCATTCAGATTCCTCTGTGCATCTTTTGTCTTCCAAAATAGGATGCTGTTTTCCACCAGATATAGGGAGGGCATTCACATTAGAGTTTTATGACCTGCTTCGTGGGAAGGTTAGAAAGTCTTTGCACATGCTCTTTCTCAATACTTAATATGCCAACATGCCATTTCTTTCTCCCCTCCACTCGTTTTATTTAGAACATAAATAAAGAGGAAAATGTTTCATAGTTTTTAGCACTTAGGATTAGAAGATTTTGGAAGAAAGTATTGGCTTTATCATTCCAACTGATCATTTTAAGCAAGATAATTTGTTATATAAAAGTTAGAAGTATAGAAAAATGTTTTGTAAGTTCAGAGGATGTTAACTTTTTTTATGTAACCTTCCATTTTAATGCATTTTTTTACATGTTTGTTAAGTGTACTAGAGAAATACGTGACTTTGTGTCATGATTTATTTGTATTTAATATAAGGTTAAGTTTTTAAAACAATTTACTGCCCTGACTCTTAGCCCTCCATTAAAAGAACACTATTCCCATCTTTTTTGGTCCTTATTCTGATAAGCCTAATTTTGTTTTTGAGAATTAACTCTTGGATGTTCTAGGGTGTCTCACTAGAGTAGCCATGAGAATTACTAATGTAACTACTTCATCTAATGTTTGATATTGTATTAATTACTTCTGTGTCACTAAGAGAATAACTTGAGGAAAGATTTATTTTGGCTCATAGTTTCAGGGGGTTCAGGCCATGGTCTCTTTGCCCAGTGTGTTTGGGTAGAATATCATGGTGTAGTAGGAACATGGTTTGGAGGAGAGCTGTTCATCTCCTGGCACAAAGGGACAGAGAAAGGGTCAGAAAAGGGCCAGGGGAAAGATTACTCCCAAGGACCCGTACACAGTGATCTGTTTCTTCCAGCTAAGTTCTACCTCCTAAACTTTCCAGAATCTCTCACAATACTGCCTCCAATTGAGGACCAAGTATTCAAAACATGAGCCTACGGGGGATATATCATTTTGAAACAGTAGCAGACATTTTCACTCTTATGAAGAATCTTATTCCTACTACCACTTTTCTCTGTAGTATTTCTTGAATCCACTGATGCCATTTCTTCTGTCTTTAAACATCCCTAATAAATGATTTACATAACTTTTCTTCTTCTTTCTCAGTTATCAGTGAGTACTGTCTGATTAATTTTCTCTTGTTAACACTCCTCTTCTTAACACTTCTTTTGTGTTTTTAAATCAGTTTCTCTTTGTTGAACTTTCTGCATATTATGGGCTTCTTAAGGTTTCAGACCTTGTATCTTATGTTCCTTTACCCTTTTTTCCCCCTTAACCGAGCAATATTTATTTAAGCAGAAGCAAGTGTGAAGGGAAAAGTACACCCTCAAAGGGAACTGGGGCAGGCAGCTTAACCAAGCAGTCAAATGCATGCCTTATATTCCTTTCTTAAAACATAATTTGCCTTCATAGCTGCAGCTATAACTAACCATTATGTAAATGACTTCAAAATTGTAATTTTGATTTCATCTCTCACGTGTCCTCCAAAAGTAGATCCTTAGTTTTCTCTTAGAAATCTTCACTTACATATATGACATGAAACTTGATACCTAGAAGTATGTAAGAGTTCATTTGTCCTATTTATTATACTATGAAATTGAATGAATGTGAAATTTGGTTTCCAAATACTTAGATTTCAGTCCCAGTTCTACAACTTGCTAGCTTT